CCATTCCAGACAAATGCTTGTTGGAGCACACACAACTTCTGGAGGCAAGCTATTCCATGGGTTAATTGTTCTCACTGTCGGGAAATTTCTCCTTAATTCTAGGTTGGTTCTCTCCTTGATTAGTTTCCATCCATGGTTTCTTGTTCTGCCTTCAGGTGCTTGGGAGAAGAGGTTGCCTTCTTCACTTCCCAGCACAGCAAGTAATCACAAACTCTGATGCAATTAAGGTTTCAGACTCCACACATAGGGATGAAGGATCTGTGAGCTTCTACTTGTTGCTGAACTATAGTTCTCAGCGCCCCCCCATCAATTATCATGGTGGCCAGGGTTGCTGAAAATTATAATTCACATAACTGAACAAGGCAGATTTCTTCCCTCAGGACATCTGAGAGAGTCAATATCATTGAATTTAGCAAGACCTGCTTCTGAAAAGACACACTTGGAATAGTATTGTGAGATATTTGATGCATGGAAGCAATTTTCTTTTTGGTGTGCCTGGAATACTGAGAAAGTCAGCAACGCAGAAGGATAAAGAGAAAGCTCACCAAGAGCTTTCTACTGGGTTATGCATTTTAAAATGTTATGACATTCCCAGGAACATGTGTTTGTGTATACTGGAGGAGCCAAAAGTAACCTTGTTATTGCATCATAGTTTTGAACATAAAATTCTGCCTTCCACTGAGAACCTCTGATGATCTGTTTTGGCAGCCTTCTACAATCTTCAAGAGATGCTTTTTCCAACTTTGCTACTACAGGTAGCTGCAGGAATAGGATATATCTTGGGAGGGGGCCTTGTACACATTTCAATTTTTTTAAAAGAATATTGAGCTCCCAGAAAATTTCAACCACAGAATATTGAGTTCCCAGAAAATTTCTTTTCGAAAATGTATCTTTTCTTTTATGTACACTGAGACCATTTGCACCAAGAAAAATTCCTTGTGTGTCCAATCACACTTGGCCAATAAAGAATTCTATTCTATTCTATTCTATTCAGGAAATCTTGAACATGCTTCCTAGTTCAGAGAGTTCATGGGGCAGTAAACAGATAAGCTGTGTGAAGTTTGTGGGCCACATTGTTCTAGTTCCTCTCCTAAACTTCTCAATAGATCTAAATTGGTTTAATTTCCAACTTCTGGATTTAGATATGTGGAAACATTAAGAATCTGTATACGGTACAGCGGTATTCTTCCAAAAAGGACTAAGAGAAATTCTCAATTAAAGGGCAACATTCCTAGATTTCAGTTTTTGACTTATTCCATTTTCCTGATCAATATTGTAATTTTCTGGTTAATGCTCTGATGGAACATTACAAAAAAAAAAAAAAAAAGATTGGCTTTGATTTTTGTTTTGTTTTGTTTTGGTGCACTTTTGTTTGATTCCTGGTGAGACTGCCTGGAGTTTTCTTGGCAAGATTTTGGAAGTAGTTTGCCATTGCTTTCTTCCTAGGGTTAAGAGTGACTGGCCTGTGGACACCAAGCTGATTTTATGCCTAAAGAGAGACTAGAACTCAAGAGTTTCCCAATTTTGAGCCTGAGTTTCCCAATTTTGAGCATTTATTACAGAGTGGGGAAATTCACGGGACGAAGTATTTGCTGCAATGCTAGCAAAAGAGAACATCTTCAGCTGGAGGTCAAACTCACAGTGTCTTCATATTAATAGCCATATTAATAATTCTTGAAACATTCTGTGGATGGGGAAACCCTGATGTCTCCAAGGCAGAAATATTTTGGGGCAGTTTGAGAGGTGCTGAATTCATACCCTAGTGTTAAGCCATGATTTCTGGAATAAATCATGATTTCTGGAATCAAGGTGGATTCACACCCCACTAAAACAAAACTAAAGCAATAAAGGTGGCTTAGAAATTTCATCAGTCAAGTTCTGATGGTACAATTGAAGGCAAAAAGAAAAAGGCTTGCAATGTTTCATCCCATTGTCTCTCGGTTGTTCTGTAGGTATACAGCTGCTAATGGAATTATGGAGTTTTTTTTTCATTTCTCTGTAGACCAGACTCCCTCTAGTGTCTTGATTTAGGGGCAGTGTAAACTTAAGCAATTGTCTCCAAACTGATGCCCCAGAAAGGACTAGGACCAGAGGTGGCATTCAGCAGGTTCGGACAAGTTCTAAAGAACCGATAGTGGAAATTTTGAGTAGTTCGGAGAACCAGCAACTACCACCTCTGACTGGCCCCGCCCCCATCTCTTCTCTGCCTCCCATTGAGTCCCAGCTGATTGGCTGGGTCTTCTTTGGTTGCCCTGCACAGGAGAATGGAGCTGGAAAGCAGGTTAGTGGGGTGGGCAGGGAATGGGGATTTTACAGTCTCCTTCCCATGCCACGGCCACGGTCACCAAGCCACGCCCACAGAACTGGTAGTAATTTTCTTTTAATCCCACCACTGACTAGGACATCTGGATTTTTGTAATCCCTATACATCTGGATGGCACTGGTTTAAGGCAGAATGGTCTAAGCAGTTCGTCTTTATGCTCCAGAAGTAACAGCATTTCAAAAAAAGATTTTTTTTAAGATTGGTGCTTTAGCTTATCGTGAGTCTTAAAATCCTTTGTGTTAACAGTTCAATACAGATTCTCACAATAAGCTGACTTTGTAAGCTACAAAATAGGCCAGGCTTACAGGACATTGCCCAAGCAACAAAAACCCCATAACATTTAAATGTAAACAAATTAAATAAAAAAGAAAGAGAAGCTAGAGACAAGGCCTTCTCAGTGGTTAGGCTGAGGAATGTAATACGCCCGAAAAAAAATCAGGGTCTTTACCCTTCTGATATTTCCAAAAGACTTAGAATTATTCTTTTTAATGAATTGTTGACTGGATGAAGATTTTCAGCAGCCATTTGACTTTCTAACGGAACCATTTTTTAAATTATTATTCTTTACTCCCTAGAGTCTTTACAATTTAGGCAGTCTGTAAATATTGTAAAGAAAATAAGAATCAGGTTTAAAATGAAGTCAGCTTGCAGTTATGCTATTTGTTTTATCACTCCAGCACCGATCATACCAGCCACTAAAACTGCTGGAATTGTAAGTACCTTATTTACCAATTTTGTATTTGTTCACATCTGTAAATGTCCAAAATAGAATAAGGAATGGAATGGAATAGAATAGAATAGAATAGAATAGAATAGAATAGAATAGAATAACAGAGTTGGAAGGGACCTTGAAGGTCTTCTAGTCCACCCCCCTGCTTAGGCAGGAAACCCTACACCACTTCAGACAAATGGTTGTCCAATCTCTTCTTAAAAACTTCCAGTGTTGGAGCATTCACAGCTTCCGGAGGCAAACTGTTCCACTGAGTAATTGTTCTAACTGTCAGGAAAATTAGGGCACTCATTCAGCTTGCTTCCTATAATTGTGCAAAAGAGGTAGTCCATGGCAATCACTTTTTAATTAATGCTTTTAATAGACCCAGTTTACAAGGAAAATATTAGCAGGAATTGTCTGAAGACAAACTGATCTATCTGCCCCATGTTTCTTCCTAAGCTTCTGCAGCCATATAAGGAAAAGTCAGATGAAAAAACATGCATGAAACCAGGTTTATACTAATGTTGTAATAGACCAGTTCGGTATGAAAGTTCCTTTTTTCCCCTCCCAGTCAAAATAGGAGTCGAGAGTTAACTAAGAATGGTGAGTTATAGACCGTTAAGAGGCTAATAGTTAAAATGCAGTAGCAATAAGAGCGAATGTATAATAATCAACCCACAATTAGATCAGAATGCATTTTCTAGTTCCCTTCTGTTGGAAAAAATATCTCAAAAAAGCCTTCTTCAATTGTCGATACATTCATAAAAATATAAATATGATGTGCTGCATTTGTGTCCTGATTGGCTCCAATAAGGCTGAAATGATAGCAATAGCACTTAGACTTATATACCACTTTATAGTGCTTTACAGCCCACTCTAAGTGGTTTACAGAGTCAGCCTCTTGCCCCCAACAATCTGGGTCCTCATTTTACCAACCTGAGATGGATGGAAGGCTGAGTCAACCTTGAGCCAGTAAGGATCGAACTCCTGGCAGTGAGAGTGAGTTAGCCTGCAGTACTGCATTCTAACCACGGCACCACCATAGCTCTTTAATTGATGGTGATAAAGTGATAACAACACACACAGACACACACACACTCAAATTCATCACCATTTAGTCCCTGATCCCTAAATGATTTAAAATCAGCTTGCATTCATTTGGGGCCAGCCTCAAAACTTTGTGGAAACTTTGCTTCTGTGGAATTGAAAGTTTCCGTGTTTTATAATTATATTCTCAAGAGCATTGGGTTTAACATGGAGGCGTTAACCTAGAATATAAGTATATTCTGAAACATGTTGGGTTTAACCTAGAAGAGTAAGAAATATAAAGGCCCTTTCCACCACAATCAGACATTCTTCCTACAACCTCATTTAACCTATTTTAGTTCTTGTCATACTGTCAGAACTGGAGAATTTCATACAGACACAATTCATAACCATAATTGGACTCCCGTTGTCCCTGTTTCCTCCCGCAGTCTATCACAAGAATGAAAGTTGACATGCAATTGTCGGTCATATTCTATCCTGGAAGACAACACGCCCAAAGCAGTGGTGGGATTCAATTTTTTTTTACTACTGGTTCTGTGGGCGTGGCTTGGTGGGCGTGGCATTGGAAGGATACTGTGAAATCTGCAGAGGTTGTATTTGCCAGTTCTCCGAACTACTCAAAATTTCTGCTACCGGTTCTCTAGAACTGGTACTGGTTGTTTTTTTTTGGTTTTTTTTTTTATTCAGCAGGTTCTGACCAGTTCTGGAGAACCATTAGTGGAAATTATGAGTAGTTTGGAGAACTGGCAAATACCACCTCTGACTGGCCCTGTCCCCATCTATTCTCTGCCTCCCATTGAGTCCCAGCTGATCGGCTGGGTCTTCTTTGGTTGCCCTGCACAGGAGAACGGAGCTGGAAAGCAGGTTAGGGGGGTGGAGAGGGAATGGAGATTTTGCAGTATTCTTCCCCCAGGAGTGGAGAGGGAATTGAGATTTTACAGTATTCCTCCCCTTCAATGCCCACCAAGCCACACCCACAGAACCAGTAGTTAAAAAATACCTGAATCCCACCACTGGCTCAAAGTGTCGTGTTTAGCAACGGGCTACAACACAAAACAGCATTACAGAGACCCTGCAGAGATGGAGTTGGTGGGTTTACACCTGCATCTGACTGGAAGACGATGTGGACAATTGTTTCATAATTCCATGGCTGGGAATCCAAATGCACGAAGTGGGATGAGCTCTCTTTGGTTTCTCTTAGCAGCAGAACCGGGGAGCAACCGCTCCCTTTTTAGGAAAGTCTGGGTGTCTTCAAGACATCAAAGGGTGTCAGTTTTCTGATCGGGGCCTCTGATCTACAGACACTACCTTCTCTTGCGCAGGCAGATTTCAAGTCTCCCTAATTCTTCATGTGATTGGTAGAAAAGATCAAAGTCTTTGGCTTCCCAACTCCGCCAGAGAGCCAGGCACCATTCCTTCAACTCATTTTGGAAGCAACACACAACTCGGTCTTTGGCCAGAACAGCAGCATCCACCAGTGACCTGAAAAACAAAACATGGATTAATTTACCAAAGAAAATGTCTTGGTAGAACAGGCAGTCCTCGATTTACAACAGTTCATTTAGTGATTTATAACGGCACTTGAAAAAAAGCAACTTAGGGCCATTTTTCACATTTATGACCGCTGCAGCATTCCTCACGGTTCACGTGATCAGAATTCAGGGGCTTGGCAACTGGCTCGTCTTTATGATGGTTGCGGTGTCCCAGGATCGTGTGATTCCCTTTGGGGATCTTTTGATCAGCAAAATCAAGGGGGGAGCCAGATTCCCTTAGCCACCATGTGAGTAACTTAAGCACTGCAGTGATTCACTTAACAACGGTGGTAAGAAAGGTTGCAAAATGGGCCAAAATTCACTTAACAAGGGTCTCGCTTAGCAACAGAAATTTTGGGCTCGATTTGATCAGTCAGATAAGTCAAGGACTATCTGTAGTGGCTATTGCATAGAGATAGGCCTGCTTTAATGTCTAAATGGCACATCTTCGCCTTTCATGATGCTTGGCTAATTCAGGGGAGGGCTGCTGGGGGTTCGCAGGGGTTCAGGAGAGTCCCTAGCTAAGATTCTGTGCAGTTAGGAGAACCCCCAAATCCCACTCCTGCCTGGCCCCAATCGCCCCTCCCCTCCCAGGAGTCCCCACATGGCCTGTTTTGGATGCAAGTAAGGGCAGGGTATGCGCAGAAGCTCGGGGAGGGCAAAAAACAGGCCGCCCGGAAGTTCAGGAAGGCCGGAAATGGGCCCGTTTTCACCCTCCCAGAAGCTTGAGGAAAGCCTCAGGAACATGGGGAGGGCAAAAACGCCCCCCGCCTGCCATGGTGCAGGAGGCTGACTAGGCCACGCCCACCATGGCCACGCCCACCCAGCAACCGGGCAGAGAACCTTTTGCTGAAATTTTTGAAGCCCACCCCTGAACTAATTGACAACATATTCCAGGATTAAGAAACCTGCCATCCACTCAGTGGTTTAGATTATTCTCATAAATTGTGGCTCCGTAGGAATTATTTAGAGTCTTATGGGCCAAATGTTCAAACGTCCTATGTTCCCCATTTCTCAATTGTGCCGATTTAAAAATCAGGAATAAAATATGCAGCGATAAAAGCAAACAAACTTGCATAATGTACCCAGCTCTCAGAAGGATAGATTGCTTTCCTTGAATAGAACTGAATCAACAGTGTGTAAAAAATGTAATGTTTTTAAGTATGGATATGCACAACCGGTCAATTGAGGAATGGGCCATTCCAGAGAACCCTGGAACGTTCTGTTTTCTTCTAAACCACGCAAAGCCTTCTCCATGCTGCATGAATAGGGTGAGGAGAGGTGATAGTTTCTAGAAGTCAATTCTCTAAACTAGGAGTTCAGGTTCTTCCTCGTTTTTAGCATACTGTAGCAGAAGGACAGGCAGAGCCTGGAGAGGTGGAGTTAAGAGAGTAATCAGCCTAGAGTCATTACATTCCCACAAATGCTCTAAGTACAACCCCACTTGAATTCCGTTGACTCTTACCAAGCATCAATTTAGTGCTGACTGTTAGTTGACCATATTCTTGTGTATAGGCATGAGCAATACATCAGACTAACTGGAGATAACATGTGGTCCTGATACTTCGCATCTGATACAGTAGATACATTTTTCTTCTATCACTATTGGTTATGAAGTTAACTTCAGCTTAGGGTTCGTCTTGGTGCAGAAAATGATCCTTGCCTGGCAGCCCTTCCCTTTCCCTGCCTAAAATTAACCTTTTGACTGTGGGCCAGTCACTCCCAGCATCAGTTGTCTTTCCAATTCCCCCTTACCCATAGGAGGCCAGCTCCACAGCCTTCAGCACAGCAATGACTCTTCCTCGCTGAGAGATGGCTTCCTTTTCCAAGCCAATCACAATGATATCACCACCTTGCCTAGAATGGAGAAAGAAGCTGATTATGGGACTTCGGGAGACATCCGAAGGAAACAAGAGGGGGCGTGCATAAGCGCACCAACGTGCCTACCGTCCCTGTCCTATTGTTTCTCTTATTCTTTTATTTTTCTTATATGTACCCATTTCATGTATTCACAACTATGTATACACTTATACTTATTATCTTGTAAACAATTGGCAAATCAAATAAATAAATAAAATAAAGAAGTGTTTGTGGAAGAGGCCGATCTTAACTGGCATTTCCAGATGCATAGTTTTGCTTTTTCTCTTCCTTGATGTTAATTCAGCCATTAATAATGGAAAAATCAGATCCAGACTTTATTTACTCCATTGTCTTGTTCCCCAAAGTGGGCAACTAGATCTTTACACAGAACCCAAAAGTAGGGTGTGAAAGAATAATTTCCCCTCCCCCATAAATGTCATCTGACCATCAGGATTCATTAGACATTGGGAAAAAGAACCTTAGGTTAATATAAGCTTTTTAAAGAATTTGTCTAGTCTGGACCACTGGCCATTTTTTGTGGCATGAAATTTTGAACATTAATATTGTTCTGCTGAGCGCCAAAGAATGGAGGCCTTTGAACTCTAGTGCTGGAGAAGACTCCTGCGAGTCCTTTGGACTGCAAGGCGATCCAACTGGTCAGTCCTAGAGGAGATCAATTCTGACGGCTCTTGAGAAGGCCAGATCCTGAAGATGAAACTCAAAGACTATGGCTGCCTCATGAGAAGGAAGGACTCGCTGGAGAAGAGCCTAATGCTGGGAAAGATTGAGGGCAATAGAAGAAGAAGGGGATGGCAGAGAATGAGGTGGCTGGATGGAGTCACTGAAGCAGTAGGTGTGAGCTTAAATGGACTCCAGAGGATGGTAGAGGACAGGAAGGCCTGGAGGAACGTTGTCCATGGGGTTGCGATGGGTCGGACACGACTTCGCAACTAACAACAATTGTTCTGCTCCTTGATGTATGAGAATGTCAATGAAAAATATCACCATAATAAAATCTTTAAATAGCGAGGGAAGGCGATAGCGAGTTTTTCAATTAAATTTCATGCCTTTCCTATGGTTCCCAACACAATTTATCTGAGAATATGAGAACTTCAGAAATTGCTATGGCTCTAAATGCAATTAAGATGTGCATTGAAACTTCCCCGAGATTGCCATGATTTTCCAAAACAATTTATCTGGAAGCATGGGAACATCTAAACAATTAGCACAGCTCCCAATTCTAGTGAGCTCTGAAGGAACTGTGCTCCCTGTGGTTCCCAATCCAATTTACCTGGGAATCCACAAGAGATCTTTTACAGGTAGGATCTGCATAGCTTGGAGAAACGTTTCAGTTTTCTCCAAAGGAAGGTTTGGCTCTTGAAGCTTGTTGAGCTCTTCACAGTCGGTCAAGAAAGGTGTGCTGGAAGAACTTGTGGGAGAGCTTGGGAGACTTGAGGAAGATCTCAGCATCCTGCTAGGAGATGATGGTGAGTAAGAGGACACAGAGCAGTAGTCTGTCATGGAGTCCTGATGGTTTAGTATTTGAGTGCCAAGTTCTCGGCTCTGAAGGATGCTCACATTGGCCAAAGAGGTGCTCTCAGGAGCCACATCCCTGTTTGCAGTTAGTGTTGTAGGAATCAAAGTTGAAGGCTGTTGAATTGTGAACATGTCCCTCAGGGGGCTACGATCCCCACAGAAGTATCGGGCACAGAGCTGATAGGTAGAGGTGTAGTACATCACCAGGAAGTTGGTGGCATCGTCTAAACACCAGGTCACTTCTTCCCCGTTGCAATCGGAGCTGCACACAATGGACACCACAGTGGATGGCAAACTGTAGGGCTCCAGTCGCCTGGTGATCTCCATGGCTTTGCAGTTTATGATAAGGATACCAGGGCCATTGCTGTACCAGACCTCTGCTCCGTTGTTGGCCATTTCCATGGCTTTCACAGAGTAAGGATTCTGGCGGGGGTCGTCATCGCTGATATTGAACAAGGAACGGTTTGCCATGTGGGAGCAAAGATAGCAGCAATTGTCCTCCAGGGCGCCACTTGTGACTTGGAAAACTGCAATCAGTCCATCAGATAAGCCAGCCAGGACCACGTAGCAGTTCTAAAGGTAGACAAACACAAATACTAGATAAAGGTTTTGAGCACCTACAGTTTTGAGCAGAGTGCAGCTAATCCTCAACTTATGGCCACAACTGAGCCCCCCCCCCAAAATTTATGTTGTTAAGTGAGAAAGGCGAGTTTTGCCCCCCTTTTAGACTTTTCTCACCACGTTCGTTAAGCGAATCCCTGCAGTTCTTAAATTAGTGACCCGGTTGTTAAGTGAATTTGGTTTTCCCCATTGACTTTGCTTGTCAGAAGGTGTTCTGGCCCAAACCCTTTTCCAATAAGACAAACAATAATCAAAGGGAACAGAAACCTTTTAATGAGTCTTACGAATCCCCAGTTAAAAGGCTGCTGCAAACTAATTAACTTTGATAAGCACAAACCTTGCCAAAACTGTGCGAGGCTGCCAAGAATCACAGATAAGAAATATTTCACAACACATGAGTCTTCAAATACCAACTAAGATACTGCAATGTCCATGAGGCTGGAGTTTCAAAATGTTTTTGCTTCCTGCAAAGAACGTTCACATCACAGCTGGCTTTTATCTTCTTGATGGAGGGTCCATTACCTTGCGGCCTTATTCCTGAGTCACCTGTGCTGCTGCGCGTGCACGCAGGGTTGCTCTTTCCTACAAACAACCCTGCATGCACGCGCACTTGGCACAGGCTCCTCGGGAACCTCCTCATTGCTGCTGCCAGCCCCCACAATCTCTGAAGGCAGCAGTCCACTCCCTAATGGTTCTAGTCCCTCATCCGAGTCCTCGCTCTCCTCAGCCGTCTGCACCTGCTGCCGGCTAACCACAACAGAAGGTCGCAGAAGGGGATCATGCCAGCCTGGGACACTGCGACCATCATAAATATGAAACATTGGACAAGTACCTGAATGTAAATCATGTGACCATGGGGACACTACAACGGTCATGTGAAAAATGGTCATAAGTTGCTTTTTTCAGTGCCGCTGTAACTTCGAACGCTGACCAGTTGTAAGTCGAGGACCACCTATAAAGGATCAAGGGGCCATCTAGTAATATCTTCCTAAAGTACGTGGCAGTTTCTGATTTCTTCTTAATAATTAATATCAATAATAACCTTCTTAATAATTCTTTAATCTGGCCGCCAATTACGATTTTAATATAGATTTTATTTATTATCTTACCCCAGAATTTCTAACTGGATATTCCTTGAGTTTTAACTAGCTCTGGTCTTCGACTGTAATAAACGTTGTCTGATTTGTTTTCTTAATAACTCTTTAGCCCACGTAATATAATATCACATCAATAAACAAAATACAGGTAGCCCCAAATTTATGTTGCTAAGTGAAACATTTGCTAAGTGAATTTTACCCGGTGTTACGACCTTTCTTGCCACCTTTGTTAAGTGAATCACTGCAGTTATTAAATTAGTAAAAGAGTTGTTAAGTGAAGCTGGCTTCCCCGTTGACTTTGCTCGCCAGAAGGTCCCAAAAGGGGATCATGTGACCCTGGCACACTGCATCTGTCATAAATATGAGTCAGTTGTCAAGCATCTGAATTTTGATCACGTGACCATGGGGAGGCTGTAATGATCATAAGTGTGAAAAACAGCCGTACAGTAAGTCACTTTTTTCAATGCCGTTGTTGTCAACGTTGGAAGCCATATTGAGACCAGATGCTCCCACGCTGCCACATTTTGAGCCTGGAAAAGTGGGAGGGGGGAATTTCTTGGAGTGTATGTAGTTACACATAATAACATTCTTTTTCTAATTCAAGGTCATGTTATTTGGCACATAAGTGAGAGGAAATCTCAAGTTGGGATGGATGGTGATTGGGGCATGTGATGTGATGATGGGTGCAGGCAGTGGATTTGTAGTTTTTACTTTTTGCAAGGAAGCCCGGAACTTTCAGATTCGGGATTTCCCAGTTGTGTCAGTTTATTATCCAAAATAAAAAGAACTTTTGAGAAGATGTCTGTCTCGGAGTTATTGGTTGGAGTGGAGGTTTGCTGGAACGCTGACAGTTGTAACTTTGAAAGGTCAATAAATGAACCATTATAAATCGAGGATTACCCATAGAACTTCTTCCATCTGGTAGCATCCTTATATACTGGGAAGAAAATTCAGAGAGCTGTAATCCAGTCTGGAGGGCATCATTTGTGAACAATCTGATATATGCTGCATATTTTTGTCAACTCAGAATCCTGAGGATGGTGGATCTTGATGCAAGGAATATTTCTCTTGCATGTACATAATTTTAATAATAATGCAGTTACACAGATGATTCACAATGAGGTCATTGGCATAATGACATCTTGGCAGATGCTATACTCTCCAATTAAACAATCAGGAATAAGAGGCACTCTCTCAACTGATTAAAGCTAAATTTCTCTGTATGAACCTCAGACAAGGCAAACAAATTTGGAGTATGGCACATAAAAGAAGATGGAAATCAAGGGACAACAGTTGAAATGAACACTAAAAGAAAGCTTGAAGTTGGCTAATCTTCACTTTCATGCTGTACAATCAGGATATAACCAAGTATTAAATGGCAAGTAATTAATCTTGCTGTGTATCATTACAGTGGCTATCATTTCAATATATCTTTAAATAATGCTCTCCTGCTGTTTCAGTGACTAATGTAAAATTCTTTGAGAGAACAATCCATCTTGCTAAAAAAAGGAGTTTAAAATATCCACCAGGGAGATAAAATGAATAAAAAGTGTAAAAAAAGATGGCTCAGATCACAAAAATAATCCATGAGCCTCCCTATAAAAACCTCTGTGACAAATTCCCAGTGAAGAAAGAAGAAAGAAAATACACCATTGTAAGATCTGGAGTGGAAAAATAATTACCTTTGAGGCAGAATTTCCACATATTCCACCCACCTCTGCATGATCCATACAGGAAAACAAAGTGTGTTTAAACAGCTTTAACATTCCTAGCAAAGGCCAGCTGATCAAACTTTTTTAGTTCCAAAGACATTTGAAAGTAAGATATTGTTCCAAAGATGCCTTTAAGAATAGTTTTGGAGGAAAAAAAAAAAGGAGAAATGAAACTGGGACTGTTATAATTTCTTTTTTCTTTTCCTAATTCTGTTCATGGTTGCTGAACTAACACAGGAAAGACCAGGATAGACTGTTTGCTTAGTAAAATACTCACTTAGTAAGATACTCAGAAGATCAGGTCACTGACTGAGATAAATGATATGATAATCAGTATGAAAAGTGACACATAACTTAGATTGTATGGCTGCCCAACTTTTTTAAAAAAATCAACAACTCTCGGTAACACAACAATAAAACCCAGACTTATAAAAAACATAAATTATAAAACCATAAAACCAAGTAGCTACTATTAGTAAATGGTGATGACATGAGGATGAGGATGATGATAATAAAATTTTGATTCTGCTGATATTTTGGTAAACTAAGATTGGCCATGCCATGTATTATAGACCTGAAGAAATGCAACTTTTGAGCCGTAGTAGCAACTTGAGAATTATATTTTTCATTAATCAAGACTTACAGTGACTGTCAAATCAAGAGTGTGGCCAAGTGATAAGGATACCCTTTATTAGATATTTATTTATTGCAGAGTTCAGTCTTTGAGTAAACCAAGTAGCAATCCAAAGAGAAACTTTTTTATTGTATAATCATGTCAACCAAAGATTGGGCATTGCAAAGTAATACTTGTTTTCTAGTTGTGCAGGATATGCATTATAGTATTGGGTCTCTTCTCTTGGTGCAACAGCAAACTAAGACCTCTAGAAGCTTTGTCAAAATAATATCTGGTCAAAGTGAGCAAATAGTAAAAAGTAATCAAAGAGAAGCAGTGTGGTCTAGTGGTTAAGGCACCAGAGAGCAAGAGAGTGTGAGTTCAAGTCCCACCTTAGCCACGAAAGCCAGCTGAGTGACCTGGGCCAGTCCCTTTTCTCAGCCCAAACAGGGTTGTTGTTATGGGGAAAATAGGAGAGGGAATAGATTTCCACCTTAAGTACTAATAAAGGTGGGATATAAATAAACAAACCAACCAATTATACATAGAAATATGCTTAAAAGAATCTTACCGTGTGACTTATGGATTCATTTCAACGTTACAATATCTTAGTAGTTTTCAGTTCCATTATATCATACCCACATCTACCCCAACATGCTAGCACCACCCTCAAATTTTGTCCTGACTCAATCCCCAAATTTAGCTCTCAGATAATCAGCACGAAATGTGCACTCAAACAGGGGGCTTAATTAATTCTCCAACCTATCAGCAGGTGGAGGTATTGCTTTAATTCTGCCATTAAATCGACAGCCATTCTTGTATCTTCAGCTGTTCTAAGACAAAAATAAAGAACATTCAAACTTTATTTTGGGTGTGCTTGGAAGTTATGATTGTCTTGTGTTTGAAATCTCTTTACCTTTTTCATCAAAGGCACCGCAAGAAAGCAGGTGACAACAGCTGGAGTGTCTATGCCTTTCTGTGGAGCCTTCAGAGGACACATTCCTTGTAAACTATATATGTAAATCTTCTGGTCCTGTAAGAGATCAAAAGGAAAATGGATTTAGATAGTGTTTAAAACTATCTTTTTTTCAAGGATGAAAATACAGAGTAGCAGTTTGCAAGAAAAGCGGAGAGTTATGCATCTCATTATAGCCAAAAAATTTAATGGTGAAGATTCTGTGTATCCATTTCTTAAATTACATTAAAGATATTTTATCAAAAAAAAAAAAAATCTTCTGACATTTAGAATCTCTTTTACTAAGTCAGGATTAAAGAGAAAACATCAGCACTAGTTAATTGTAATGAGGTCACTTTAAATGGTGGAAAGAAAGGTGCAACATTCCACTTTGCGCTCTTTTAAAACTATTTTCTGTAATTGGAATTGACAAACAGAATTGTGATGGGGAAACCCAGGGAGTGAGATGGTGTTAAGATGGGCTTTAGCATTCCATGGAAGAGGCAAAACATTGATATAGAATAAAAAGTCATCTGGAAATTCCAAGAAAAGTCAACATTTTTGCTTTCCTTTACCATCTATTGTTAAGAACAGAAAATAGGAAGAAAAGCGATATGGAATGCAAGCTACTCATTTGAAACCTTGGTTGCAGTAGGTTCAATTGTACTATCACAGAGAAAAGGGAATTGACTTATTTTCCAAAGCACCAGAGAGAAGGACAAGAAGTAACAGGGTGGAAGCTTGTTAAAGAGAGATCCAACCAAGAAATATGGATAAATTTTCTGACAGTGAAAACAATTAATCAGTGCAACATCTTGCCTCCAGGAGCTATGGGTGCTCCATCACTGGAGGTTTTAAGAAATAGACTAGACAAATAGTCTGGGATGGTATAAAGTCTCCTTTACAGAGAAGAAAAGAGTTCAAATTCAGAACAGATGGGTTGAGACACACCTCTGTTGCAGTCCAAAGAGAGTTCTGAAGTTTCAACTGGCAGCATAGCTTCATTCCTGGACAACTCATTTTGGAAACCTCTATGAATCCTTTCTCTGTATTTACTACAGTGTAGTTCCTGAAATCAGGAAAGGGGAATTAAATCAAAAGGTACAGGACAGCATCAATGAGAAGCAAAGAAAAACCACAATTCTGTATGGGTTTGGGTCTTTTTTCCTACAAAATATATATCTCATCATAGTTTATTGATCAGATTACTGATCAATTGATCTGATCAATTGATCAGATTACTACTTAGCCTTTTCTTCCAGGAGATTACAAAGTATTCTCTCCTCTCATTTTTCCCATACACCTGTGAGGGAGGTTAAAGAAAACAAAATGGCTCAGTGGACTTTCATAGTTGAAGATGAACTTAAATTTACTTCTTCCCATCCTGGTCCAACACTCTAACCAATCCGCCACATCAGTTCCTATGGTCACTATTAATTTCTTATTATTCCTCCCCCTGCTATAAGAACTCTTACTTTGAAGAGAAGATGGAGGGCATGTCATTCAACAAGGTAATTATATGTAATATAAACAATATAAGGCAATCTTAGCCTTTAGCCTTCTTAGCTCCATTTCATTATTTGTGTCTTTTATCAATTTTTTATTAATCAGAATAGAGCTGGAAAAGGAACCTTGGAGGTCTTCTACTCCAAACCCCTGTTCAGGTCAGACAATCTATACCATTTCAAACAATTTTCCTTCCTACCATTTTCTTTTTCTTTTTGCCCCAGTGTGAACACCAAATCTATGTTTTCCTGACTGAGGATGCTTGGCCCAACCAGCAATTCTAATGTCGTGCACTGATACTCTGCACTACCCCAACTTGGATTTTTGTCCTGCTACGCATCTTCCATGTCCACAATTTATGTATGTAACCCAAAGCAAAGTTAAGTTAGATTATCCATAATGTTTGTAGACCCATCTTCAAACGATGTATGAGGATAACTTTTCCAAAGAGGAACAAAGAGCTTGTTTTTCTATTAACTCGAAGATGACACTGTTTGTGTTTGCAAGGGAAAACCACAAAGAACGCATAAATATAATCACTGGCTACTGGACATCTTTAAAAGACTGGAGACAACAAAGAGACAACATTATGCAGCTAAGAATTTGAATCAGATGTGCTGTTTTGGTTTGTTGCTCTGCATGAAAATACACAAATGCAAGCAACCAGAAAACAGTGAAGAATGGGGATTGTTGAAACCAGTTGAAAATGGGTAATCCATTATTCTCAACCTGGTCAATTTACTTTAGTCCTGTATATAATTGTCATTTTGTTAGCCCAAAATGATCTCAGGGAATTTGTAATGAATTTATAGAAGGTTAAGAAACCCTTTTGAGGAAAGCATGGATACCTCAAGTTGCCAAATTTGGAAGGTTCAAACTGTGAAAACATTTATTTCAAGACCATCTTGCCACCTAGATGGTTCTTTTTCTAATGGTCCAATAGATCATGTTCTAATGGGGACCAAATGGACCATTGACTTCTTTCCTGTTTGAGGCATCCCAAAAGATCTCAGACATTGCATCAGCTACCTCCATAGGATGCCTTCCATATGGGTTGGGAAATAATACCCATAATTTCCAACCACTAAACTAAAGGCCATGTTCTTCAGGACCTACAGGCAGGATATGAGAGCAAAACAAATTGCAGGTATCAACAGAAGAAAATATTCGTAGCTCAGGGTTGAACTGTGGGGTCCTTGGTGCTCTCTGAGCTTGGTGGTTATCTTGTAAATGTTTCATTGCCCAACTAGGTGACATCAATGGTGAACTGATGATGTTACCTAGTTGGGTAATGAAATGTCTGAAAATAAACCACCAAGCTCAGAGAGCACCAAGAACACCACAAATTACAGTGTTTGTAATAAGAAAAGAGGGTGAAGAAGGAAAAAAACACCTTCATACAGTGTTTGAGGAAAGCATCACTATCCACAACTCAAGAAATACTGAGCAAACAATCTATTTACATTGCAGAGCACAATGTAAATGTTTTTTTTTAAATACAAACCTTGTATCTTCCTTCTCATCCCAGAATACTACACTGTGGTCTTGTCCTTGAGAAGAGAAGAAAGACTGTTTCCCACAGGGCAAGCAGTACATGAATGTGGCAAAGGAAGGACTTTTCATTTGTCCTATAACTGAAATGGCCAGTGGCCGCTGTATAAAAGGAAGGTTAGACATGAAGAATGAAATTATATAGCAATAGCAGCACTTATATACTTATATACCGCTTCACAGTGCTCTAAGCAGTTTTAGAGTCAGCGTATTGGCCCCAACAATCTGGATCCTCATTTTACCCACCTTGGAAACATGGAAGGCTGAGTCAATCTTGAGCCAGTCAGGATTGAACTGCTGGCAGTGGGCAGTCAGCAGAAGTAGCCTGCAATACTGCATTCTAGCCATTGCACAACCACTGAGCCCTGTTCAGAACTCTGTCTGTATTTACAGGCTGGATTTATATACTAAGCCATCAAGGCTGCATCTTGCCCAAGAAATCATAGTTTCAAGAAATTATTATTCAGCCTGACATGCGCTCCCATCTTATGACACAACCAAGCACCATATGAGTGCTGTAGCAACAACGAACAAAAAATGCCTTGCAGGTGCCCTGAGCCACGACTGCAGTGTCTCGCTTAGATGGACCAAATAGTTGGCCGAGAAGATGGGATTTTTATCTGACATATACGGATAACATGCATGGACAAGGCTAATTTGAGGAATCCCAACTTGTTATGCTCTGCAGGCAGTCCTCGACTTACGACTACAATGGAGCCCAAACTTTCTGTTGCTAAGTGAAACATTTGTTCAGTGGGTTTTGTCCCATTTTACGACCTTTCTTGCCACAGTTGTTAAGAGAATCCCGACAGTTATTAAGTTAGCAACATGGTTGTTAAGTGAATCTGGCTTCCCCATTGACATTGCTGGTCAGAAGGTTGCAAAAGGGGATCACTCGGACAGTGCAACCGTCATAAATATGAGTCAGTTGCCAAGTGTCTGGATTTTGATCACGTGATCACAGGGATGCTGCAACAGTTGTAAGTGTGAAAAAATGGCCATAAGTATTATTTTTCCAATGCCGTTGTAACTTCCGTCACTAATCAAACTGTTGTAAGTCGAGGACTGCCTGTATTTTTGGTCTCCAAGAATCTTGGAGTCCAACATTCAAGTTCAGAGGGATTCCATGTATCACGTCTTCTCTTTAGGGTTTCAGTTGGCCTTTATTAGTCTTTATCTATTGATTAGCCCTTGAGCCTTATCAAAGTGCAAAGTTCCAGAAACAAATTATTACTAAAATTTGATAAGAGCAATTTAAAATGGAATTGGATAAAATACAATTTAAAATAAAATTGGAATAAAATACAGTCCAAAATGAACTTGGAATAGAATACAATAATTTAAAATATAGATAAAATATGATAAAACTAGCTTGATATCTGTGCTTCGCTACAAAATTATGTGGTCAACCTTAGTTTTTGAGGAGGAAAATAAGGGAAAAAAAATCTGCCTCTACCTACCAGCATCCATCCGTATTCATCTGGCTAGCCTCTTGTCAGTGTGTGAGAGAGTTGAGAAACTGAAACAGTATTTGCTGTGTGAGCAAGAAGGAGACAGCAAGGTGCCTGGGCGTGGCTTAGCTAAACTGTACTGTACTAAAGCTGCTTGGTGCTGTGACACTAAAAAGAAACTGAAACTCCTCTCCTTTGCTTATGTTTTGCATTTGGAACAGATTTCTTTTCAGGTGGGGAGGGGGAACAGAAAAATTCTTTCTTAGTGATCACCTAGAAGCCAAGAGAAACATACATGCCAAATTTCAAGTTTGTAGGCTTTATGGTTCTAGAGATTTTGTGATGATGCATGAATGGTATTTATATATATATATATATATAGATTATCTTTCGGTGTCACCCCTGCAATCTACCCCAATCGGTCCCATATATGCAGATCTCAACTGAACCATTTTGCTTAAGTCCTGTGCTGTGTTAAATGTTATTTTCAGATTCTGGCCACACAAAAGGGAAACTATTTTGATATGGGGACCCCAATGGGTCATTTGTTTGGTATATAGACCGAGGGACCTGTCTCTCACCCTCTTATATAGGCAACAATCAAATAGGATGTGAACATTCAGTTGGTCACTGTGCTGTCCAGCCAGTATATAGTTAATGGGAATTGGTATAGTTAGTTAGGAATTGGGAGCTGTCCCCTTAAGGGAATCCATCATGGTAAATGTAGTTAAGGTACCCTGGGAAATGTAGTGCATGTCATGTGGCCACATCTGTAATCCTGATTGGTCACTGAATTGACCCTTGGTGGGTTGGGGGAGGTTCCTTCACTCTTACCTGAACCCAGCCTTGTACTAGCATCTCTACCCCTGCTCCTACGATATGAGATGAAAGGGATAAAAGATTACCATCCTTTTATACCAGAAAGTCAGCTATGCAAAGAGTTGGACATTGAGATGAATCTCGACGTAACTGTAAGTTATATTGAGGATGCCTGATGAACCAATAAAAAGACTTTGTATGGATGCTTTGTGGAATTATCTATCTAGTCACTGTTAGATATAGAATGCTGGCCAAGATGGACTAGCTGTGCTCTACGTTTCTTTAAGCTCAGAAAGATATCAGACATCACTGCCTAAACACCAAAATTCTCTTGTACCTTTTCAGGTTTGGTGTCCCAACACTCCATCATGAGAGCCTGCAATCGATGAAACTGCACTTCTTCTGCCTGGCCCAGGACGGGCCGAATCCCCTTGGAGAGTTTCTTGGAAATTTGCAGTTGATGTTGTCCCAGGACGGGTCGTTGCCCCGACAGCAGCTCATACAACACCATTCCATATGAAAACATGTCCACCTAAGCCAGAGCAGAACAGAGAAACTGAGATTCAGAAACATAGCAGTGGGGAAGGCAAGGAAATGAGTATCAATGCTGCAAAGTTCCCTGATCCTATCAGCACGGGATTGTAGGAGTTGTATTTCACCAGGTTGCTGGCCCCTTCCTTTATACATCATTCTTGGCTTTCTGTTTATTTCCAAAGCCTGGAATAACAATCAGTGCAAAGTCATGGTAATTGGGGAAGGCAAGGAAGTGAGAATCAACTCTACAGAGCTCCCTGATCAGTGGTGGTATTCTATCGGTTCGGCCTGGTTCGAGTGAACCGGTAGCAAAAAATGTTACTGTTCGGCCGAACCACTAGTAAAAAAAACAGCTACCCAGGTTTTTCTTTTCTTTTTCTTTTTTCCTCCTGACGATCAGCTGTGCCGGGATCCTCCTCGTTGTCTTACTGCTTTGCCCAGGAGGCTTCCCTGAAGTCCAGAAGGCAAAAAGGGGCACACGGTGTGTTTGTGTGTGTGTTGCGTGCCTCCCCATGCTCCGTTTTTTGCCTCCTGGGACTCAGGGAAGCCTCCTGGGAGCAAAAACAGCCTCCCAGGCTTCCCTGAGGCCTAGGAGGCAAAACAACAACAACCCTGGAGTGTGGGGGAGGGGTGCTGCAAAAAAAGAAGTCATGCCCACCCAGTCACATGGCCGCATCCACCTAGCCATGCCCACCTATCCACCCCCACAGAACTGGTAGTAAAAATATTTGCATCCCCCCCCCCTGTCCCTGACCATGTGATTGTGGGAGTTGTATTTCACCAGATTGTTTGCCCCTTTCTTTATACAACACTTTTTGGCTTTCCATTTATTTCCAAAGCCTAGAATAACAATCAATGCAAAGGTGGGGGTGGTGGGAAACCTAACAGGAGAAAAAATAACATTAAGATGCAAAATTAAGAGACACTGGGGAAAAACACTGTCACATTTCAACATAAAGCGGATGTAAATCCCATTTAAGACTGAATGCAATGTCAGTCAGATACAACTGCTCTGTTATTTCTCTGTGTGTCCTAATGTTGAAGTCAGGGACAAGAATTTTTTTTTTTTTTATAAAAAATTGCTTGCAAAAAAAAAGATTGAACAGTCAAGAACATAGAGCAATAGCACTTAGACTTATTGTATAGTGCTTTACAGCCCTTTCTAAGCAGTTTAAAGGGTCAGCTTATTGCCCCCAACAATTTTGGATCCTCATTTTACCCACCTCAGAAGGATGGAAGGCTGAGTCAAACTTGAGCCTGGTGAGATTTGAACTGCCAAATTGCAGGCAGCCGGCAGTCAGCAGAAGTAGCCTGCAGTACTGCCCTCTAACCACTGCGCCACTGCAGCTCCTATATATAATTTCACTTGTTGTCATGTTGATGGGAAATAGAATCTTGACTCTGGCTATAGATGGGTCATGAATTGCAGTTTGAATGGCAGAGCCTGCCATGGCACCTTCTATGCATGTACCTTTTCATCATAGACGATGCGAGGTCGTATCTCTGGAGCCTGATAGCCAGGAGTACCCTCCACCCCCAAAGCTCCTTCATGGAAGGACTGACGAGATATCCCATAGTCAGATAGTTTGATGTTGATGCTTTCCTTCACGTCTAAAGACCACACAAGGATGTTGTCAGATTTCAAGTCGCAGAAAATGATTTTCTTCTTGTGAAGGTAGGCCAGGCCTGCAGCAATCTGATAGGCGATCTTGAAGGTCAGCATATGTCCCAAAGGTACAAAGGAAGCTCCTAGAGCAAAAGACAAGAGAAAAGACCATCTATGTCAACGTTCCAGCTGAAGAACTCAACTAAAACAGGCACGGTCGAGACGATCCAATCTCTGAATGCAAAACTTTATTGAGTACATCATTTCAGCACTGATGAGGGCAAAACCAGATCTAGCTAATTCCCGTGCACATAATTAAAGTATAGGATTTTCCCTCCTCCTGTTAGTGCAGGTCTCATTGTCCAATTGAATATCATTGTATTGTTATGAGAAAAAGTCTTTGGTATTGGCAAACACAAGTGTCCTTGGCTCTCATGGCTCATCTTCTTGATGACTGGAGCCTACATTCCATCTCATCCTTCCCTCCCACCTGGTTCGTTGGCAAGCTGAGAAGCAACAGCAAAAGCACGCTTCAAACATGACAATCTGATTGTCAGCTACACTAATATCTACCTCAAATGTGTAATGATATGTGAGTCAGATGGGAGCTCAGATGACGAGATGCTACTACTCAGATAAGGGATAGTATAGCCCAGGGGTCACCAACCTTTTGGACCTCAGGGACCACCAAACTCATAATTTTAAATCCTGCGGACCACTGATATGAATTTTGACTGATGGTGGCTTGCTGACGTTGGTGGGAAAGTCGGTCCCATATTCCAGAGCTGAAGTAGTCACAGGACTGGCCCTTTGGTCATCCCGGAGCAGCTGCTCCTCCACCTGGGTGCACCGTCCTGCCATGGACTGGAGGAGTTGCTCTGGGATGACCAAAGGGCCAGTCCTGTGACTACTGCAGCTCTGGAATATGGGACCAACTTTCCCACCAACGTCAGCAAGCCACCCCAGGGCGGATTTCCCTCCCCACCGTTGGTCTTAGCTTCCAGCTCCAGCTCGCATGGCTCTACTCAAGGTAAGGTTTGCACTTGGCTGAAGGGTGGGGGCCAGTGGGTGGGCAGGCCATGTGGGCGGCACAGCTTTGTATTCCTGTGCAGCCTGGATTAATTGCTTTGGGGGGGGGTGCTGGGGGGGGGACATTTCTCTGCGGACCACTAACATTTTCTCGCGGACCACCAGTTGGCGACCACTGGTATAGCCCACAGTTGGATAGTGGGCAGGGCAAGAAGTTCAGAAGACATTCTCCCTAGTTTCTTGGGCTATAAATGAGATGGCAGGAGGATGTACCTTCAGACTTGCAAGATTGATAAGACCTCACCAGATAAATCAGAAAAGAATAATGACCAAATAAAATCCATTTTATTGCAAAGCTACACTGATAGAATTTTGCAAGTCTGAAAGTGCAGCTGGTCCTCAACTTAAATCCATTCATTTAGGGACTGTTCAAAGTCACAGCCTGGATAAAAGTAACTTATGCCTGTTCTCATAGTTACAACCGTTGTGGCATCCCCATGGTCACATGATCAAAACTTGGCAATGGGTTCATATTTATGATGATTGTCCCGGCATCACACATCTTTTCTGATCTTGTGATAAGCAAAGTCAATGGGGAAGCCAGATTAACTTAACAACCATGTTGTTAACTTAACAACTGTAGTGATTCATTTAACAACTGCGGCAAGAAAAGTTGTAAAATGGGGCAAAACTCACTTAACAACTGTCCCCCATTAATTTTGGGCTCAATTGTGGTCATAAATCAAAGAATACTTGTGCAATTTTGGCTAAGGATCCCATGGTGGACATCTCTGGGCAGAAGGTCTTTCTTTTACCTTTAGAGTTTTCTGAGAGTACAGTGGTCAGGCTGCCCAAAGGAGCCAGTTCTAAGGCCAAGCTGAGCGGGTGGATGCTGATCCCAATCAAGGAGACCACACAGGGGTATTGCAATGAGTGGAGCATGCTGGCCTCTTGACGGAACTCCGAGAAGCTCTTCATGGCATCCATCGCCCGTAGATGCCTCAGCATGGTGTCTGTGCAAAGAAAAACAGACGTGTGTATAAGGTCCACACTTTTGGATCATATCCCAAGCCCATGAAATCCTGCATTCTCATTTAGGGATGTCCAAAGGCCTCTTGTAAGCCACTGGCCCCAATAGTTGCTTCTGCAGGATGAATTTGCAAGCAGCGGTCAACTCGTAACAACTGCCCACTTTGCAATGCACCACTTTGGGATATATTAGAGTCTTGCATTCTGTATTTTAATTATACTCAGATGCTTTCAATATGCATCTGAGGAGGAAGGCATGATGTAAGACAGGATGACCTCATCAATTGTCTCTGTGAAACTGAGTAAGAATAGATGAAAGGTCTGCAGAAGAAAGCTTCAATCAATCAATCAATCAATCAATCAATCAGAACAGAGCTGGAAGGGACCTTGGAGGTCTTGTAATCCAACTCCCTGCTCAAGCAGGACACCTTATACCATTCCAGACAAGTGGCTGTCCAGCCTCTTCTTAAACACCTCCAGTAATGGAGCACTTACAACTTCTGGAGGCAAGCTGTTCCACTGATTAATTGTTCTCACCGTTAATCAGTGGAACAGCTTGCCTTCAAAAGTTGTAAGTGCTTCATCACTGGAGGTTTTTAAGATTCCTTCATAAATTCTCTACATTCAAAACCATTTTTTTCCAATCCACACCACATTTTTCTTCTTGTTTCTTGTTCTGCAGTAAGCAAGTTGGAGGTATCTGCTTTTAATTCCTATTTGCCTGCTTCCATAAACTGGGTTCCCACAGCCCAAACTCTTACCTCTTGTTCCATTAATGGAGTTAGTTTCTAGATAAGCTCGAAAGCAGGGGTCTCCAACCTTGTCAACTTTAAGACTTGTGTCCCAAAGATACTTTATTTCAGGCGGCAACTTTCTTGTTTTTTCTTTGAAGACATTTCACTTCTCATCCAAGAAGCTTCTTCAGCTTTGACTGGATGGTGGGGAATGGAAGGATTGATATTCCTTGCAGACAGTTGGTCATTTGCATTCTTTTAGACCAGGGGTCTTCAAACTTGACAGCTTTATGACTTGTGGACTTCAACTCCCAGAATTCCTCCTCCAGTCATGTTAGCTCAGGAATTCTGGGAATTGAAGTCCACAAGTCTTAAACATGCCAAGTTTGAAGACCCTTATTTTAGACAGCCATTGAGGTCACCTGGAAGTTTAACTGTGTCCTCAGGGTCACCCGAGTGGTGCAAATGGGTATAGAGCAGGGGTCTTCAACTTGGCAAGTTTAATACTTGTGGACTTCAACTCCCAGAATTCCTGAGCTAACATGACTGGAGGAGGAATTCAGGGAGTTGAAATCCACAAGTCTTAAAGTTCAGAAAGTTGGAGACCCCTGCTCTAAAGGCTACATTTAAACCGGTGCTGCTGTTACCCCCCAAAAGGGGAAACATTTGCCTACACGTGGAAGGAGAAAAAATCGGTTGCTTTTTTGAAACAATAACTTGGTCCTCAACACCAATAAGACCAAGGAGCAGAGGTGGTATTCAGCAGGTTCTGACCAGTTCTGGAGAACCGGTAGCGAAAATTTTGAGTAGTTCGGAGAACCAGAAAATCCCACCTCTGACTGGAGATTTTACAGTATCCTTCCCCTGCCACACCCACCAAGCCACACCCACAGAACCGGTAGTAAAAAAAAATTGAATCCCACCACTGTCAAGGAACTTATAGGAACAGATCAGACATCCAGCCTTTGCTTATCAATGGAGACCGAGGGGAGCAAGTGGCCAGTTTTAAGTTTCTGGGTGTTACCATAAAAGAGGACCTGACCTGGGGTACTCACATTGCAGCACTGGTCAAAAGGGCCCAGCAGAGATTATACTACCCTGAGGCTTCTCAGCTCTGAATGAAAAACTGAATGAAAAACTGCTGGTGACCTACCACTGCACCATAGAGAGTATCTTAACTTACTGCACCTGTGTATGGCTTGCCAATTGCACAGTGGCAGATAGGACAGCACTCCAGAGGGTTAATGTCATTGCCCAGAAGATCATTGGTTGCCCTCTCCCCTCTTTGGAAGAGCTTTATAGCTCCCGCTGCCTTACGAAAGTTCAAAACATTCTCAAAGATCCACCTCATCCTGGGCACCCTTTTTTTGAACTATTACCATCTGGCAGACAGTACAGAATAATAAAAACAAGGACAAAGAGGCTGAAAAACAGCTTCTATCCCAGGGCAATAGTTCTGTTGAATTCTGCTGTATAGTGCAGTATTGGTGCGGTGTCAGGGTTCTCGGTTCAATGTGTGGAGTGTGAAGGATGTGTGTTTGTGTTTATTTTCATAGTCATACTGTACACTGAAGATGGTATTTAATTTTGTTGTATGAGGTGCAATGACAATACAATAAACTAAACTAAACTTTAAAAGAGCCACTCTTCCACATTGCTCAACACTGGCTTCCTTACCTGTTGCTGAATTGGCAGAAGTATTATATTTTTTAATCTGAAAACGCTTGATGGCTACCGGTTTCCCTTGATATTGTGCCCGATAGATAACTGTTCCACTTCCTCCTTGGCCGAGGATACTGTTTTCATTTTCTACGCATTCCAGTTTGCTATTTTGCAAGAATAATCTGCCAAGCGTACCAAATGAAGAAAAGAGAGAAATGGGATTATTAAGCAATTCCGGTCAACACAAGCCAAGATTTAAGATCACCCATTTCTCCTCTTCCTAATCTCCCAGAACAGACAGTGCCTATTTCTGTGGCCAAGATGGGTCTTTTTTCTCTCTCCAGCCATCTGCTGACTAGAAGATAATCAAGCAGAAAACATATTTTTTAATTACCATCTTTGATAGGCTGTTTTACTGGCAGCAGCTAAGGTGGTTTTTTAACGGGTAGCATCACTTCAAAGCAGAGGTATGGGAGACTCAGGTAGGACAGGTGGGCAATAAATTTTACAAACACACAAATAAAATAAATAAGAAAACCAAGGAAGCATTTTTTGACGTGTGTAGGATGATGCTTTTGAATGAGATTTTTCCCATCAGCTTTTCCTGGGTATAGCAAGTCTGTTTACAGCAAAGATGCACAATTTTTCCAGGCTGAGCTTCACACTTGGACTTTACAAAGTGTGAAGAAGATACTTTCCCCCCGAAAATGGTGAGTGGGATAGAAGGCAGGGATGGACTGCTGGGGATTCGCAGGGGTTCGAGGGAGCCCCTAGCTAAGATTCTGTGCAGTTTGGAGAACCCCCAAATCCCACCCACCCCACCCCTCCCAGGAGTCCCCACGTGGCCCGTTTTGGATGCAGGTAAGTGCCGGGTGCGCACAGAGTCTTGGGGAAGGTGAAAAATGGGCCTCCTGGAAGTTCAGGAAGGCTGGAAATGGGCTCGTTTCCAGCTTCCAGAGAGCCTCCGGAGTCCAGAGAGGCCGTTTTTGCCCTCCTGGAGGTTCAAGAAAAGCCTCTGGAGCCCGGAGAGGGCAAAAACGCCCCCCCACCATGGTGCAGGAGGCCGACTAGGCCACGCCCACCCAGCAACTGGGCAGAGAACCCTTTGCTAAAATTTTCGAAGCCCACCTTGGGTAGGATGGAAATAACATGAGATTTGATCTCATTTCTATTTAGATGAGATTAAAAGGATGGTTAACATTTTCATCCAGCAGGTGGTAGCCATCCTGGGTAGATGCCAAAAAACAACAACAACACGAACCTAAGCAGGGTTAGATGTGATTAGGACTAGGGTTGGAGACCAGGTTGTCAGCTGGACTGTGAAATTTTAAAAAATTACATGGAAGAAATAAAAGCCAATTCTGAACTGTCAACAAAAGAGATTCTTGGTGTCACCAGTAGTCAAGTTTGTTTGTTTTTTTACTTACCTTCTATCACCCTAAAAATTGCTATTTGTTAACAATTTCAGGTGATCCCCTACCACTTGGACAGGTGGGACAGGTTCCCTTTAACTAGGTCAACTAGGTTAACTATAACTAGGTCAGCTTGATACCACCCAATGTATTGACAGAATAACAGAGTTTGACGGGATCTTGGAGGTCTTCTAGTCCAACCTCCTGCTCAGGTAGGAGACCCTATAACATTTCAGACAAATGGCTGTCCAGTCTCTTCTTGAAAACCTCCAATGATGGAGCATCCACAACATCTGGAGTTTCCACTGATTAATTGTTCTAACTATATAGATAATGCAACTCCCCAGTTTCTACTGGTGGAAATTCTGGAAGCTGCATTTCTTAGCATACCTGAAGAACACCAAACCGGAAAAGCCTGCTGGGCTAGACTACGGTAGGCAGAAATGTAAGGAATTTGCTGCAAACATGATCCATATTGTTAGGAATATGAGTCACCTAACAGCTATTTGAGTTAGAAATATATAAACCAGGATAAACATTTTAAAACTGTATCTTTAAGAAAATGCAAAACTGTAATTAGGTGTGGTTTCTCAAACGGCCATAAGATGGAGCCAGAAACCTGGGTTGTTTAGTCTCAGAAGAGAGTGTGAGTGTATCTCTGTTTCCTTCTGTTGGAAAGTATTGCCGTTGCACCATTTTCCCTAATTGACTGATATTCATGGATTTGATGTAAGTCTGATACTGAACTGTTTTTGACACTGGAATTTGTTATTGAATTATCCCTGGATTGAAAACTGACTGATTTACTTGTGAATGACTTTGGATTGCTTATTTGGACTTTGCTTAACGTTTCTGGAAGTAAAAACCTACATTTACTGTACAGTGTATCTGTGTGCTCTGTGTGTATTATTCCAACACTACTCTCTATACGTCTCCCTGTATGCGCTCATTCTCCTAACGGGGAATTACCTCAACATTGGTTATGGGCCCAGGCCATACCAGGCTCAGATAACTGAGAGTTAGTGTGAATGCACAGTACTGTATACAGACAGCTATTTACTGTTTAATTGTGGTTTACTATCCTGGTAAAGATGGCACAAGTCACTTCAAAAAGTCTATCACTGATAACCCGGTTGGATGGAACAAACTATGTTTTTTGGTCTATGAAATGCAGTCTACTTCTTTGTAGAGGTTTATGGAATGTAGTTCAAGATCCACCAGATGTAAATGCTTGGGATCCAGCAAATGAGGATGATGCCAAGAAGCTTGCTGACTTTAAACAGAACAACGAACGAGCTCTTTGTATAATTGGACTAACACTGAGTGACCAGCAGCTACTCCATATTTGTGGAGAAGAGTCTGCTGCTAGATGTTGGGAGAATTTGAAGAGGATTTATGTTCATGACAGTGTAGGTGCACACATACATCTTACACGTAAACTGTTTAGAGCACGTCTTCTGAAAGGTGGAGATATGTTAGCTCATTTAAACTTCATGAAAAGAACTTTTCAAGAGCTACATGAAAAAGAACTGATATTTTCAGAGCTGCATCAAGTTTACATCATTCTTTCCTCATTGGATGAAAGTTATGATGATTATGTATCTTCACTGGAAGTACTGGCCAGAGATAAACTGACATTGACTGACATAACTGGAAGATTGTTAGAAGAAGCAAGAAGATGGCTGGATAGGGACCAAATGAGAAAGGAACAACCACAAGAAGAGAATTTGTCTTCAACTGCCTATACAGTTAGGAAATGTTTTTCTTGTGGGGCTAGGGGACATATAGCTAGATTCTGTAAGAAAAGAAAAGGACAGAATACTAGTAAACACCAGAAGACCAAGAAGAATGTTAGTGTAGCTATGTCTAGCAATTCAACTGTAAACCATGATTTGTGGGTTGTTGATAGTGGAGCATTGCAGTGCATTACTAAAGATAGAAAAAGGTTTGTAAAGATGTATCATTGGCAAATGGATGGAAGATTAAAGCATTTGGTGAAGGTACTGCATATTGTTCTTGTATAAACGAACATTTAACTATGTTATATATACCTAAACTGAAATTTAATTTATTATCAGTAAGGGCTTTAGTTAATATTGGTTATGTAGTAACCTTTAGGGGAGATAACTGTATAATAGAGAAAGAGGGTAACTGCTACTTTAGAGAATGATTTATATGTAATACATGATGACCAGTTGAAGATGGCTAACTCAGTTTATAACAATGTTAAGCCACATGATGAATGTATACATTTATTACACAGATGTCTAGGGCACATTAATTTCAAAATGCTCAAACAAACTGTTGAATTGTCAGAGGGAGTAAAATTGAAATCCTGTAGCAAGTATTTAAACTGTAATGCCTGTAAGCAAGATAAAAGTAAGGTTACTCCTGCAAACAGACTTAATGGGTTTAAGACCAAAGAACCTTTAGAGGTTGTTTTTGCTGACATAATTGGTCTTAAGAAACCAAGCTCCAAATGTGTGTAGGTAACTTAAATTTGGCTTTCTGCCATGCCAACGAGCGAATGGCAATTCTCCAGTTGTTGTGTTAACTACATTGTTTAAAACATGGTTACTACACATTATGGCTTCACTCCACATCTCCTGATGTACTGGCCTGTCTCCTGGTAGTGCCTCCATGCTCTGGACACTATGCTGACAGACACAGCAAACCTTTTTGCCACAGTTCGCATTGATGTGCCATCCTGGATGAGCTGCACTACCTGAGCCACTTGTGTGGGTTGTAGACTCCATCTCATGCTACCACTAGAGTGAAAGCACCACCAGCATTCAAAAGTGACCAAACCATCAGCCAGAAAGCATAGGAACTGAGAAGTGGTCTGTGGTCACCACCTGCAGAACCACTCCTTTATTGGGGATGTCTTGCTAACTGCCTATGCTTTCCACCTGTTGTCTATTCCATTTGCACAACAGCATGTGAAATTGATTGTCAATCAGTGTTTCTACCTAAGTGGACAGTTTGATTTCACAGAAGTGTGATTGACTTGGAGTTACATTGTGTTGTTTAAGTGTTCCCTTTATTTTTTTGAGCAGTGTATATTCTTGAGCACAGTAGGTGATTGGGGGGGGGGGGGTGTAGGAAACTGCAGGAAATGAAATTCAGAAGCCATAATTTTGGGAGAAAGAATGAAAGTTCCTTATTACCTGGCTGGAAAGTCCGTCATGAAAAGTTCAGGGACCAGTTCCTGTAAAGGGACAGGTAGATCTGGATGCTGGGCACAGGTGATGTGGTCTTGCTCAATAGCCGTGAGAAAACAGTCTTCCATATTGAAGTACTGTCCATCTTCTTTTGGGGGGCTGTCTTCTCCATCCTGGGGCTTTGTGGTCGAACAGACGGGGCAAGGCACATATTGCTCCATCAGTAGAGTCCCGTCACTCTCGGTGGCAGTGAGGGCTGGAAAAATATAATTTATTTATTTATATATCAAACTTCTGAGCTATTCATCTCCCTCATAGAGGGGACAGAAGCATGCATACTGGAGATATCTCTTTCAAGAGATGGTTGCCCAGAACTGGACAAGGAGGTGAAGAATGAGCAGAACAGAACAGAACAGGAACAGAATCATGTTGTCAACCCTGAAGCTGGCCTGGTGGAAGCCACCTTGGAAACTTCAGTGCTGCCACACTTAAAGCTGAGGTATAGGGAGGGGGGGATTAGAGATACTGGGGTTATCTAGTCAACACAAAATACTTTCTCTTGGGAACCATGGATGTTCTCGCATCTAGCCAAAGAAAGGAGTGATGTCAGCTGACCAGCAGACACTGCATTGATTGGGATGTGGAGGCTGATAGGTTGGTTAAACAGTATCACAATCAGTTCCCTCAGAAGGCTAAGGGGCCTCCAGGGGGAGGAACAGGGGGTTAAGGTGAACCTTGACTTATTTCCCTCTGTATGTTTTGTCTTGCAGGAATTCCTCTTCAGTTGAGGGAGGCAGCCTGTCAACCTTGAAACTGGCCTGGCCGAAGCCATCTTGGAGCTTCAGTGCTGCCACACTGGAGCTGAGGGATAGTGGGGCGGGGATTAGATATAGCTGGGGTTTGTATTCAAAACAAAATACTTTCTCTTGGGAACCAAGGAAGTTCTCACACCTGGCTGGAGGAAGGAGGGGGGATGTCACCAGGCAACCAGACAGTGCCCTTCATTGGACCATGTGACTGACTGTTTGGGGTTGAGGGGAAAACTTTTACTTTTAATTAGGTGAAAACTGTGGAACTCTTCAGAGTCGGTTTTCACCAGATTTGTGCCAATATGATATGTCCATATAAAGCTATTCTTTGAGGAATTCATCTGCCACAGAGTTTTGCTTGGTATGGGTCTATTATTTGGAACCCTGACAAATGTTAATGGAACAGTTCTCTGCATAGACTCTCCACAATTAATTGAAAAAAATATACCTCATGGATAATTCAAGGCCAGAGAACTCCTAGGGACTACCCAGAGCATTATTTGATGGATATCAAAGAAGAGTCATGGTGGTGCAGTGATTAGTAGTACTGCAGGCTATTCTGCTGACTGCTGGCTACCTGCAATTTGCCCATTCAAATCTCACTAGGCTCAAGGTTGACTTAGCCTTCCATCCAGAGGTGGTATTCAGCAGGTTCTGACCAGTTCTGGAGAACCGGTAGCGGAAATTTTGAGTAGTTTGGAGAACCAGGAAATACTACCTCTGACTGGCCTTGCTCCCATCTATTCTCTGCCTCCCGAGTCCCAGCTGACTGGCTGGGTCTTTTTTTTGTTGCCCTGCACAGGAGAATGGAGCTGGAAAGCAGGTTAGTGGGGTGGGGAGAAAATGGGGATTTTGCAGTATCCTTCCCCAGCCACGCCCACCAAGCCATGCCACACCCACCAAGACACGCCCACTGAACCAGTAGTAAAAAATTTTGAATCCCACCACTGCTTCCATCCTTCCAAGGTGGATAAGACTGTTGTTGGGGGTAAGATGCTGATGCTGGAAACCACATAGAGAGGGCTGTAAAAGCACCATGAAGTGGTGTATAAGTCTAAGTGCTATTGCCATCAGAGGAATGGACAATGGGGATTGCAGTGACAGGACAGCTGAAATCTGCACTTGAATCAAAATAACATCCTGTGCTAGAAATGAAGAAGGCGGCCATAATCGTTAGTATCCAAAAATCAGAAGAAATCTGGCAATCCCCCCCCCCCCCCAATTTAATAAAATGCATAAAAAATGCTGATGGACTTCTAATTTTTGCACCTGCCCTGGGTTTCTGAGTCCAGTTGCCAAAAAATTCGAACTCTCTCTGAAGAGGTACTAGCTTCCATGCCAAATTCTTTTCAAGGTCTAAAAAGGCCATTGTAAAGAAAACTCCCCTCCTGCAGGCTTTGAGAAGCTTGCTAGAAATACTACTTACTTAAAAACACATTCCCTTGTAGGAGGTTCTAAATCTTAGGAAGTTAAACTGGTGGCGAATAGTTAGGGATGATAGCTTAGAGGACCTATTTATCAAAATCATCCATTTCAGGCCTTTTTTTTTTTTAATCAAGCTGCGCAACTTTTTTCAAGTTATGAACCATAATTTGCACTTGGTGTGCCCTGCTGGGGACAATATAGCAATAGCAACAGCAGTAGCACTTAAACTTAGATACCGCTTCACAGTGCTTTTACAGCCCTCTCTGAGCGGTTTACAGAGTCAACCTCTTGTCCCCAACAATCTGGGTCCTCATTTTACTGACCTCGGAAGGATAGAAGGTGGAGTCAATAGTGAGCCGGTGAGAATTGAACTGCTGGCAGTCGGCAGAGTTAGCCTGCAATACTGCATCCTAACCACTGCGCCACCACAGCTCATTCCCCATATATTCCTCAATATTCTCCAAAGTCTTCTGATTCAAACCAAAAACTTGATTTATATTGTATTTTAAATTAGTTAATACAATTATTTTCTCCTTCTGGCCCCCAAGAACCGAAGACAAAGCTGGCTATAACTTTTGACAAAAGTCTAAGGTTTCTAGGGATGATAGATAGCTCTGGACTTCTGTATGTGCTCCTTGATAGTAGACCCAAAGAAGAGTTCTGATAGATCAAGCCAAGATCCTCCCTGATCCTCCAATGGGGGTAGCACAGTAGCTAACCACATATTTATGGAATGCTTCACAAGGAGATGAATGTATATTCTACTACCACTGTGTAAGCTTTGGTGGCGCAGTGATTAAAATGCAGCATTGCAGGCTAATTCACTGCTCATTCCAGGAGTTTGATCCTGACCAGCTCAAGGTTGACTCAGCCTTCCATCCATCCCAGGTCAGTAAAATGAGGACCCAGATTGTTGGGGGCAAGAGGCTGACTCTGTAAACCACTTAGACAAGGCTGTAAAGCACTATGAAGCGGTATATAAATCTAAGTGCTATTGCTATTGCTGATGTTTCCATACGCACACACAGGTTGAGTCTTCAAAAACTAACAGTAAGTCCTCAGCATACACACACACACACACACATTATTTATATATATATATAAATAAACATGCTGTTGCCAGAATCACCTAATCATGAAATCAGTAACTCTTAGTTCCGAATTTTTAGTACTTAGCTTCTTTATCATTTTAAACTCCAAGAATTTGAATTTACTTGTCATAATGCCATTCCTTTCTTCTTCTTCATGCCTTACCAACATTCAGAAATGATCAAAGTGTCAACCTAATTAATGGAGTAATGCGATGTTTAGTTGATGAATCAATTTACTGAGGAAGTTAAATGATCCGAATCTGCTTTCGAACAAAGACAACATTCTGACATTAAAAACACAGTATTCTTTGATTTTCAATGAGGCATGCATATTTCATAACTGGCATTTCAGGGAAAGGGAGGAAATGCGTCTCCAAAATGCATTTATGGATGCTTTTTTTCATTCTGTTTGTTCTTTCTGAGTGCATGATCAGAGGCACGCACGCACACACCCACTTTGTATGAAATTATCCTCATGTTTGTAAACTTTTAAAGTGAGTTAATGTAATGTGACACAAGATGAAAAACATTTATGCATTTTTCACAAACCATTCTGAAGCAGCCAGTGCCATCTTTACAAATTATAGTGGAAGCACATCACCTGACAGTAAGGTTGAACACGTAGCCATGCTGAGCTGTGGTTTCTTAAATAAATAGTAATGGATTCACACCATATTGTAAACCACAAATTATGGCTTATATTCATAATATAGCATCTATAATATCTGTTGAACACCTGGCTCTTCTCACAGGTATCAGGCCAGAAAATTAAGTGAGATCGTTTAAATAGTTTAAGTGATTACTGTAGAGATTTTTTAGCTATGATCTATCTTTGATATGATATCTTTTCATTGTTTTCATTTGTTGTATTTTATGTTTTTAGCTAATTTTTAATATGGCAGATAGGCATCTATATAAATTGAATGAATGGATGAATGAATGGATGAATGAATGAATGATGAGATGGATTCATACAGCATAAGAGAAAGCAAAACAATTACATAATTGTTTCTTGTAATATGATCATCCAGGATACCACATCCCTAAAAATAACAGTATTTCAAGCTTAGGCCACTTCATCCCCATTTTACCTGAAATGATAAGACAAGATAAAATAAGCTAAGCTAAGCTAAGCCAAGGTACGGTAGGCAAGGCAAGGCAAGACCAGGCAAGGCAGGGCAAGAAAGCTTTATTGTCGCTTTTCCATGTACACCGTGGCTCACATTAAAATGCGGAATTCATTCTTACCAGGAAACCATTGGTCGATCAAAGAATTCACATGATCAGTGATGAAAGCCATGGCTGAAAAATCCCTCACGTCTGACTGGCAGATGATTTTAATGCCACCACTTTTCTTCTTCTTCCAATTCACATCAGAAGACTCCACGCTGCCGGAATCAAAGTGAAGAGAAAGAAGATTGAAAAACTGATCCAACGGAAGGAGAATTGGGTCTATTTCTAGCAGCTTTCCCGCTGAGACTTAGCAGCTAAGAAACCTCTCTTGTGCACTGTTATCTATTTTTATTTGTTTTTCTTAGGTCTACTCCTTTCATCCAAAAGGTGATGTACCTAAGGATGTAGCAAGAGGTTCAGGTTTCTCAAAAACTTGCAATCTCCTACTCTTTCACTCCTTGCAACACTCCTCAACTTACAACAGTTCATGTAGCGACCATTCAAAGTTACAACTTCACTGAAAAAAATGAATTATGGCTGTTTTTGACACTTATGACCGTTTGCAGCATCCCCATGGTCACGTGATCAACACATGGCAACTGACTCATATTTATGACGGTTGCAGAGTGTCCCAGAGTCATGAGACTTTCTAACGAGCAAAGTCAATGGGGAAACCAGATTCACTTAACAACTGTGTGTTACTAATTTAACAATTGCAGTGATTCTCTTAACAACCGTGGCAAGAAAGGCCGTAAAATGGGACACAGCTCACACAACCAGAGAAATTTTGGGCTCAATTCTGGTCATATATAAGCCAAGGGCTACTTGCATTCCTAGGAATTGAACACTCCGCTTTCATTTCCCAGTGCAACAGGGTTCTTTTTATAATCAGAAAAGGGGAAAGGCTGGTAGTTGGAAATAAAACAATGGGAGGTTATATATACAACCCTCTGTGTGAACGCACAGCATGAGTCCTGAAATTGCTCTTCTTTGTGTGAGGGTCAAAGAAGTTTAAAATTTGCATTTGTGCACTGAAAGTCCCCATTTGAAAGGTGGTGCATGCATGCTTTGCAAACTTGCAGGACTTAACTCTGCTTTCACTAAACACCCCAGATTTCTCTCAAACAGAACCAGGCTCAAAACAGTGCTCACGGGGAACAATTCATTATTGAAGATTAAGACAATCTGAGAAAACTGTGCAGTCTGGAACTGTGTTTCCAGCATTGGAACAGAACTCATCACTCCCCAAAAAAAGTTGATCTCAAAGAACAAAAAACAAAGGAAAACATTACGGAGCCACTAGCTGCAGTAAGATGAAAGTTGTGTGAGTAGGAGAATACGAATATTTACTTTGGCCTCCAAGTTTTCTGGCTTTAAAAATGTTTGATCTTCATCATTTCCAAATCTGAGGAAGGTTTTTTTGGGAAACGATAACCTAAAAGGTGGGAGTTTAGAATAATGACTTTCAAAGACCAAAGTTGGCCTTGAGAAAAATGTAATAAAGAAGAGGAGGAGGAGGAGGAGGAACAGATAGAGAAGATGGCCTTGAGAAAAATATGTATCATTTATCTATGGTGGATCTCCAGAGAAGAGAACTGAAGTCAGAACTGAAGAAGCTTCTTGGATGAGGAGCAAAATGTTTTTAAGGAAAAACAAAGTCCAGTTGCCTTTTGAAAAAGCACCTTTGGGTCATCTTCAGAGAAAATAGCACTAGCACGTAGACTTACATACTGCTTTACAGTGCTTTACAGCCTATTGTCCCCAACAATCTGGGTCCTCATTTGACCCACCTCAGAAGGATGGAAAGCTGAGTCAACTTTGAGCCTGGTGAGATTTGAACTGCCACATTGCAGGCAGCCGGCAGTCAGCAGAAGTAGCCTGCAGTACTGCACTCTAACCACTGCACCACTGTGGCTCAAAATGCCAGTTTCCTGCTTTTTCCCAGGCAAAGCAGTGGCAATAACTATAAGTAGTCCTTGATATATGGCCACAACTGGGACAGGAATTTATGTCACTAAGAAATATGGTTGTTCATATTGAGTAATTCCCAATGTTTAACTTTTTTGCCATAGTCATTAAGAAAATTACAGGCTCCTTAAGGAAATTTGATTTCCCCCATTGGCTTTGCTTGTCAGAAGCCCTTGGGAAAGTCACAATTGGTGATCACATAATTCAAGGACTTGTAAACTGGTGTAAATACATATAGGTGATCAAGCTCCCAATTTTTGATCATGTAATTGCAGGGAGACTATAATGGTTGTATGTGTGAGAAACAATTGTAACTCACTTTTTTCAGAACCGCTGTAACCTTGAATGGTTAAGGAAATGGTCATAAGTCAAAGATTACTGTAAAAAAAAAAATCAGTCCCAAGACTGAATGGATCAACATTAATTTTGGTCTTTTAGGCTGCAGTTGTAATCACAGTTATTGGAGAGAAAACTCCACTAAACTCCATAGAGTTCAAACTAGCAGCATAGAATTGCTTGTCAACTTAATTAAAGCTAAGCAGCAGAGGTGGTATTCAGCCAGTTCTGACAGGTTCTGGAGAACCGATAGCGGAAATTTTGAGTAGTTCGGAGAACCGGCAAATACCACCTGTGACTGGCCCCGCCCTCATCTATTCTCTGCCTCCCAAGTCCCAGCTGATGGGCTGAATCTTCTTTTGTTGCCCTGCACAGGAGAACAGAGCTGGAGAGCAGGTTAGTGGGGTGGGGAGGGAATGGGGATTTTGCAGTTTCCTTCCCCTGCCACGCCCACCAAGCCACACCCACCAAGCCACACCCATCAAGCCATGCCACACCCACAAAACTGGTAGTAAAAGAATTTGAATATCACCACCAAGCTGCCGATGACACAGAACCTGAGACATTTTATATGGTTTTGTACCAGCTCTAACCATGATTGTGAAAAATTAAGCTCCCATCTCTGTACTTACCAAAAAATGATGAGAGGTATTTTTAAAGTTCCATCTTACTTTGGGGTTTGCAATGCCTTAGGACAGAATCCACCTTCTGTAATATTTACCTCAAATAGCCACCATCGAAGGAGACAAACAATCCTTCTTGCCAATAAATTGTGTGATTTCTTTTAACCCGGAATGTGCTGCATCTGTTTCTTTGTGTGCCCGTAAAGCTGTAGATTACAGAACTTCTATTTCTGTTCTTGGTCATCCTCTTGTTTTCAAAAAACTAGAAGAAGGGGGGAAAGCGAACATATTACAAAAAGAATAGTACCCGATCAGTAATAAATAAAATAAAACCTTGGTAAGACCACACCTGGAGCACTGCATCCAGTTTTGGTCACCACGTTGTAAAAATATGCTGAGACTTTGGAAAAAAGATGCAGAGAAGAGCAACTAAGATGATTAGGGGTTGGGAGATTAAAACATATGAAGAATGGTTGCAAGGTAGTCTAGACAAAAGAAGGTCTGGGGTGACATGATAGCAGTACTCCAGTATTTTAGGAGCTGCCACAAAGAATAGGGGGGTCAACCTTGCCATCAAAGGTCAGAAGCAGGAGGAAGGATAGATGGTGTGTGTACATGATGGTGCAATAAATGGTGTGTGTACATGATGGGAAATAGGAAGGGGAGAATGACAAGTGATAAAGACCAGAGAAACTCAGAACCAGTTTGTATCAGCACCCAAGGCCAGGCACCCTGAGAAAGAATGTTGATTACCCCAAAACACTTCAGTGTTCTCAAAACACTTCTGCGAGTTCTGATTGGCTAAAGATGTTCTTGGGGGGAGGATGGCTGGGATGAGGGGAAACTTTTCTGTATTTTTTGCTTGCAGGGAACAAAGATCAAGCCTTACTTTACTGCAGCCAACATCTTTTAGTAAAATAACTTTTTGTTTCAAACAAATGGAGTCGAGGGTCTTTCTTTCCTAAGGGATCAGATTGGGGCAGGTCTGACATCTGCTTTCTGAAAGCTAATCATAACCGTGTCCCTCAATCTCTTCCAATAATACAATGCTTCCTACATTATCTCTGGATCATCTTCACATTTTTCTTTGTACCTTTTTCCAAATCTTTTCCAGAACTAAAGGCTATGCTTAAAGTAAAGTCTGTCTGGCTCAGAGATCAGTGGAACCAATGGGTTGTTTCAGTTTTGGGAAACTATATTGCTATTGGTGGCATGTTTTGCTTGTTATCCAGCAATCAATCAGTCAATTGCATTGCCATTGAAGACTGCCATTTTGCATCCTTAATTCTGGGGTCATACCAAGAACACACCCTGCAGGGTTCCCGAGAAATACTTTCAACATGCAGTATAAACTGTATGTTTATATGAGCCTACCATGGCCCTGAAATCATACATAATTATTCCCAGTGTTGATACAAATCAGCTGAACAGTTTGAAGTGATGACAAGATAATAACAAGATAACAAGACTGGATGGCTAATTACACAGATTGCCCATGAAGTTAATGCCAATGTAATCAAGTGCTTAGAATTAACTAGTGCCAAATGTCTTTCTATTATGTCTTCAGCAGAACACACACGTTCTGGATACAGGCATGCCTGAATTACTTTTGCTTTGAAGATAAAACAAAGCTTTGTTCTATAATTGCGAAGGACGATTTTGGTAGTTCTTAATGCCATCCAAATACCCTCCTTGGGATTGGACCAAAATAAAAAAAAAATTCGATAGGGAACAATAGATGTTATAAGGGATTTAATCGAGTGGCATCTCCATTAGCAAACTCAAATTTGGCTTCCTCGCCAACATTATTCTTGAAAACCCTGATTTCCCAATCTGTGCCCTGCAAGAGCATTAATACTAATACATTCTGATGACAATTGCAATTCTGGTACATAATTAAAGCTGGAAAAGGTACATTTTCCAAGGATGCTGAGTGAAGCTGTGAGGTGAATGGACTTTGGACCCCACTAAATGAATATAACTTTTAATTTTCATTGGTCCACGTACAGGGGTCCCCAAACTTGGCAACTTTAACTTCAACTCCCAAGTCTTAAAGTTGCCAGGTTTGGAGACCTCTGGTCCACAACAATCATAAGCTACTCATGAGATTATGATCATAAGATCATACAATCATAAGATGTTCACAGCTGATGCTTTACATTCCATCCTCAGCCAGAACAGATTATAGAAAAGAGAGCTGAGTTGCAAGAGATATATTTATAATTATGTATTTTATAATTGTACTTATAACTGCTGTAAAGAAGATTGGAAGCTACTTCTCCTGTATCTCTCCCACCCTTCTTTTCTGTTCAGATTTTCTCTTTTATTCATTTTAGCTCTGCCCTTGAGTTTCTTCTTCCTCCTTCTCTTTTTCTCTCTTCATATTTGTTTCTGTCCCCTTTTATCTTCTTAAAACCGTGAACCAAGCTAGATAAAACAATACATTCCACTGTAGACCGAGAAAGCACATTTGCCAAAATGTGTTGTGGTTTCATCACTCGCGGAAGTTCTTTCATCCGCATACCTGAAGATCCATCTCTGCAAGGCTTATCAGCATCCGGGCTATGAACCGTTGCCAAAACCCAACAGGAACAAAGCTCATCTTGAATACTCTTTGGATGGTGTTTGTTGTCTGGTGCCGTAAGCTGTGAACATCAAAGGCTGGCTTGGCAGGAAGCAGGTGGGGCAGGAGATAACTGAAACCCAGTTAAACATTCCGATTATTCAAGGTGAAGGTTTGGAAAGGAGAACTTCATTACCATCTGCTGGATGAAAACATCTACCAATACATCCCATTACTGTGTCTCATACTTCATGTTCAGACACTTAAGTTCTAACATCCTCTTTCCAGAGGTGGCATTCAGCAGGTTCTGACCAGTTCTGGAGAACCAGTAGCGGAAATTTTGAGTAGTTTGGAGAACCGGCAAATACCACTTCTCACTGGCCTCACCCCCATCTATTCTCTGCCTCCCATTGAGTCCCAGCTGATCGGCTGGGTCTTCTTTGGTTGCCCTGCAGAGTAGAACGGAGCTGGAAAGCAGGTTAGTGGGGAGGGGAGGGGAGGGAATGGAGATTTTGTAATATCCTTCCCTGGCCACGCCCACCAAGCCACGCCCACAGAACTGGTAGTAAAAATTTTTGAATCCCACCACTGCCTCTTTCCTATTTCCCTCCCCCTGCCCGCCAAAATCTAGATTCTTCCCATCTACTTTTAGGGTGTTTTATTGAGGCAATTGTGGGTTTTGTAGGTTGCTGTGTTTATAATGTGACTTTGCACAAGGAAAGTACCTGCTCTTTATCTATGGAGATGCTCAGTCATCCAGGTCATGGTTGCCCCAAAGGTGCTTTTTTTTTTTTTCCCCCTCAAGGAGGCAACTGGACTTTCTGGTTTTTCTTTGAAGACATTTCGCTTCTCATTCAAGAAGCTTCTTCAGCTCTGACTGGATGGTGGGGTATGGAAGGATTTATATTCCTTGCAGACAGCTGGTCATTTGCATCCTTTTTAGAGAGTCATTGAGGCCACCTGGAGGTTTATCTGTGTCTTCAGGGTCACCTGAGTGGTGCAAATTGTTGTGGAGCCTTCTTGGACCTGTTAAAAGGACTGTGTTGTAGATTGGAGATAGAGGATGTCGTATCACTCTCCCTCTGTTGAGAGAGGGCTATTCAATTTTGACATAGATGGCCTCCTTGACCCGTCTTTCAAACCAGAGATTCTATCTATCCAAAATAGGGACTTTGTTGTCTCCAAAAGAGTGTCCAGTGTCTTTTAAATGCAGATGGACTCCTGAATCTAGTCTTGATGTGTTTGTTCTCCTAGGTCGGGTGTCAGCAACCTGCGGCTCTGGAGCCGCACGCAGCTCTTTGGGCCCTCTGCTGTGGCTCCCTGTTGGGTGATCCCACCACTGGCTGGCCCTGCCCCTCACCCTCCCCTCCCAGTCACTCCTCACCTGGGCTGAGAAGGTAAAACATAAAAAACAGAAATGAGAGGGAGGGAGGGAGACCCATTTCGCACAGAAAACACCAGGAGCCACAAAACCTGGGTAGGTGTGGTGGGGTGTGTGTCATGTGACTGGGTGGGAGTGACCTTGAGTTGGCCACACCCACCCAAGTTTTGAGGCTCCCGGTGTTTTCTTTTCTGTGGGAAATGGGTCCAAATGGCTCTTTGAGTGTTTAAGGTTGCAAACCCCTATCCTAGGTTGTGTCACACCCTAAGAGAACAAACACATCTACAACACAATCCTTTCAACAGTTCCAAGAAAGCTCCAAACCAATTTGCACCACTCAGGTGACTCTGCGGACATAGATAAACCTCCAGGTGAACTGTTCTAACAACAGTTGTGATGATCTGCCACTGTAGCATCTTACACATAAAAAGAGCTTCTATTAAACACCTTGTCTTGGTTTCCCTGTGAAATGTCTAAGTGCAAAAATACTGAACACAATATGTTTTTAAAATTGTAATTGTCATAAAAAAAAACCATTATAATTGAATGCTAGAAGAAGAGCCTGATTTTACAAATGAAAGCAATGAAGGATCTTGGTTTCTTTTAAGACCAGGAACCACTTTCAGAAAAAAGGTATACCGATGAAAAATTACATTGTACTGAATAATTAACTGCATTAACTTTCAGAATCGTGGCATGAATTGTGGTCAGTGGTCCTGAATAATGTATTTTCGGCTCCATATGGGAACTGAGACAAGGGAACAAGTTAGCTACAGTCTCAGAATAACCCTTAAACTTGAGCTCTTTAGCACAGAGTGCATTTATCTCTGTTAGAAGATTCCAAAATATGTTTCTTGGCTGACAAAAGAGACAACAGTTTTTCTACAGGGTCACCAAATGTTTGTCCGACGACCCAGATGCTAACTGCCGATGATCCATCCTAGAGAGCTAATCATAGTAACCGTGTCAATAAAGAGCAGCATTTGAACGAGAAGGCTCTGAAAAGGGTGGGAAAGGGAGACAGTGATGTCCTTCCTTGCTGTGATAGGTTTGTCAAGAAAAGAGGAGGAGGAGGAAGAAAGAACAAATTGAAGAAAAAAAATATGCTTTTTTTTTTTAAGCCCCAAATTAAACAGCTTCTGGTATTTAGAAGAGCTTCTGACTCATAGTTCAGAGAAACTCATGATGGCAGCATTGAAGAATCCATTTCCTTAAGACAAGTCCAACACAAATGCAAAGACTTCACACCCTATCTTCTTGGCAGAAGGACCTGCTAACGTGTCAACTTCATGCGCAAAGTTTATTTTGATTCTTTTTAGGCACACCCCCCAGCCAGATGTAATAAATTGGGTGGAAGGGAAGGGAAATAGACCTTTGCAATAGTGACACATTCTATTAGTAGTCTCCAGAAAGGATTGGATTGCAGTTTCTACTATTAGCCTCAGCCAGTGTGGCCAGCGGTAAGGGACTGACTGTTGTATCCAAAATCTGGAAACAACACAGTCTGCTGAATAAGCCAGGGTGGCTTTGTTTACACGTAAAGCTAAGCCAGAAGTCTCCAAACTTGGCAACTTTAAGACTTGTGGACTTCAACTCCCAGAAATCTGGGAGTCTTAAAGTTCCCAAGTTTGGGGACCCCTGACCTAAGGCATAATAAACCAGTGAGAACATCATTCCTGCATGAAACCAACTCATGCCATGTCTTAGCTGTAAGCTCCTTGTCAAAGAGTGCTTTTTTCTGTGTGTCTAAGCTGGTTCCCTTTTGATGAAATTATTTTATGGTGTCTTGCCCTTTTCAAAAGTAACATATTACTGTTAAAGTTGTGCGCAGGTTCTGAGGACTACGTAGGTATGTCCAGACAGTTTTCTTGGCAACAATATGGAAGCAACTTTGCTTCTTATATTTTTCCAAGAAGATCTTGGAAAATTCTAGCTAGTACGGCCTGATACAATGGTACCTCAGCCCTCATCTGTAATTCGTTCCAGAAGACCAGGGGTGGGATTCAAATTTTTTAACAAGCAGTTCTGTGGGCATGGCTAGGTGGGTGTAGCTAGGTGGGCATGGCCATGTGACTGGGTGGGCATGGCCTCCTCCTCCTCCTCCTCCTCCTCCTCCTCCTCTTCCTCCTTTTTGCAGCACCTCCCTGCACTTTTTTTGGGCCTTCTGGGGGGGGTGTGTTTTTTCTCCCAGAAGGCTTCCCTGGGGTCCATGAAGGAAAAAAATTGAGTGTGGGGGGGGGGCACTCCATTTTTTGCCTTCCTGGGTCTCAAGGAAGCCTCCTGGGCAAAGCAGTAAGACAGCAAGGGGAATCCTGGAACAGCTGATCATAGGAACAGCTGATCATCAGAAGGGGGAAAAAAGAAATACCTTGAGGAGTGACTGGGTGGGGAAGAATGCAGTGAGCAATGTCTGGAATGCGCACAACGTTGCACATGCATGATAAGGACGCCGGGGCTGTGAGGGGAGGGGCAGGCGAAGAGGGGCAGGGCAGGGCGCGGCCAGCCAGGGGCATGATTTGCTGGTTCTCCAAACTGTGCAGAATCATAGCAACCGGTTCTATAGAACCGGTCCAAACTGGTAGAATCCCATCCCTGCGGAAGACTATAACCAGTGAATACTGAGAAAAACCACATAACTTACTATGTGACCTGCTATTTCAACTGGAAGAAATAGCAAGTCACAAGGCCAGTCGACATCAGCAAGTTCTTCCTGGTGTGTCGACTATTGGGGAAAAGACGAGCGCTGGAACAAGACTGCTTCTTCAAAATGCACCAGATACCAAATTTGACATGTTTTGAAGAGCCAAGGTATGACTATAATTTTCTGGAGGTCTCTCACCTAAGTACTGCCCAAACCTGATCCAGCTTATCTTTTCAGCCCAAATAAGTTTAGATAAGTGACAGTTTCAACTCATAAAATATTTCTATGGTCTTTTTAGAGTTGCCAACAGAAAGGGAGAGGGGAGCAGTGCAGCAGCTTGCAAAACCGAAACTGCATTCCACAAATGTTTTCAAAGATAGTAACTAGGTGACCGAACTTTCTGCCACCTGCAAAATTCTAACTGGAGAGCATGATTGATGACTCTTGGATATGGATCTGTCCCATTGGAGAATATGAATTACGATACACCTGGGGGTGGGGGAAAACCAGGGTCAAGGGTGTCAATGAATTATGAGTCTCAGAGTCAGCTACACCCAGGCAGTGCCGGACATGTTAACTCCCAATAAATCCTTTTTAAGTTTTGGAAGTTTGGCTCGAGACTCATGATTTAAATGGAGGTAACTGCTGGAATCCTGACAGACAGTTTTATTGAGATCTTGGTTCTTGCTTGCAGAAAGGTCTGGGAAACAGATGAACAGGAAGATTGACTCCATCACAGCCAATAAACCACAAATATGACTCTGGCTTTAACCACTGCTTGTCATGTTTGAGCTCAGGACACAAGCTGGCTCTGTTTTTTAGCCCCACATGGATCTAAGAGGGTGAAATGTAAGGGAAATAAATCCAGAAACTGGCAGAATAAGCCATGAATACATGACTTATCAGACTGCCTCTGGGATGATCAACGAACCATAGGTGAAATAAATTTTGGCTATGCAAATGTCTTGAATAAAATAAATCCCTTGCATTCTTCTTTTAGTTTTAATTCCATTAGATGAAAGAGATCTTGCTTTAGACCAGAGGTGGTATTCAGCAGGTTCTGACAAGTTCTGGAGAACCAGTAGTGAAAATTTTGAGAAGTTCAGAGAACCGCCAAATACCACCTTTGACTGGCCCCGTCCCCATCTATTCTCTGCCTCTTATCGGCTGAGTCTTCTTTTGTTGCCCTGCATAGGAGAACGGAGCTGGAAAGCAGGTTAGTGGAATGGGGATTTTGCAGTATATCCTTTCCCCCAGGAGTGGAAAGGGAATGGGGATTTTGCAGTATCCTTCCCCTGCTACGCCCACCAAGCCACACCCACAGAACCGGTAGTAAAACATTTTGAATCCCACCACTGCTGTAGACATTCTTACAAAGGAGATTTTTTTTGGGGGGGGGGCACAGGGGGCGAATTTTAATGGATGGAATTTGTTTGGAGATATGATGGCCAAGGAGAACATGAGATGTTCTGTGTTTCATATACAAATATCCTTTCAATCTCTCTGGCTTCTTAACCTCCCATTAAATTCCAAAGGAAAAATAAACCTCCCGTGGAGGGTTGTTTTTTTTTTTTCCAGCTTCAAGGCTACTATGACCCTTAAGGCTGAATCCTTGTTTTGGGAAATTGTTGGAAAGAGTTTGGAGAAAGGTTCCACCTCACTTTGTCTCCACATAAACAGATAGTCCTCAACTTACAATTGTTCATTTGGTGACTGTTCATAGTTACACCACCAGTGGAAAAAACAACTCAATCACTACAGCTTTCCTGATCAAAATTCAGACACTTGGCAACTGACTCATATTTGTGACAGTTGCAGTATTCTGGGGCAGTGGTGGGATTCAAACATTTTTATTACCGGTTCTGTGGGTCTGGCTTGGTGGGCGTGTCATGGCTTGGTGAGCATGGCTTGGTGGGCATGGCTTGGTGAGCATGGCTTGGTGGGCATGGCAGGGGAAGGATACTGCAAAATCCCCAAAATCCCTCCCCACCCCACTAACCTGCTTTCCAGCTCCGTTCTCCTATGCAGGGCAACCAAAGAAGACCCAGGTGATCAACTGGGACTCAGGAGGTGGAGAATAGATGGGGTTGGCAGGGCCAGTCAGAGGTGATATTTGCCGTTTCTCCGAACAACTCAAAATTTTCGCTACTGGTTCTCCAGAACTGGTCAGAACCTGCTGAATATCACCTCTGTCCTGGGTTCATGTGATCCTCTTTTGAGATCTTCTGGTAAGCAAAGCCAATGGGGAAGCCAGATTCACTTAACAACCGTGTTGCTCACTTAACAATTGCAGCGATTCACTTAACCACTGTGGCAAGAAAGGTCACATTCACTTAACACTTGTCTCCTTTAGCAACATAAATTTTGGGCTCAGTTGTGATCGTAAGTCAAGGACTACTTGTACACCAGATAATCGTACAAGTTTTTTTTTGTGCTTTCTGAGCCTGGTGTGTCTCTGCCAATAAGCAAATCATAGAAGGAGGAAAAGAAGTGGAGTGACTTTGTTTCATGACCCTAATCCCAGTCACTCTGCCAACGTACCTGTTGTTTGCTATCGGTAACGCAATTTCAAACTTGGCAAGGAATTGGAAGTATTGCTCTTCAGCTTCCTTGGTGAACCCCATCCCAACCATCAGCATCCTGAGGTCCTCGGCTTTGATCACGCCGTTCTTGGCAATGGACTTGGAGCTTTTGACGTTGAAGATTCTCTGCAGGCATTCAGACAACCACACCGGGTCAAGGAAGTAGAGGTTCCTCAGCCCATGGCTTGTGTCTGGGAAATGCATCAGCGTCCCTGTTTCGATCAGGAAATTAATGGCTGGGGGGAGAAAGGAAAATATCACTGTCAGGCTAATGGTGCAATCACCTTTTAATTACCCCTATCTCTTCTTTTTAGATTGCCATTCTTTTTAGATGCTACCAACCTGCCTTCCATGGAGGACCTGTATACTGCACAAGTCAAAAAGAGGTCTGTGAAAATATTTACAGATCCCTCACATCCCGGACATAAACTGTTTCAACTCCTGTCCTCAAAACGATGCTATAGAACACTGCACACCAGAACAACTAGACACAAGGACAGTTTTCCCCCCGAACGCCATCACTCTGCTAAACAAATAATTCCCTCAACACTGTCTAACTATTTACAAAGTCTGCCCTACTATTACTATTAATCTTCTCACCACTCCTTATCAGTCATCCCCTCCCACTTGTGACTGTATGACTATAACTTTGTCGCTTGTATCCTTATGATTTATATTGACTTGTTTCCTAGTATGATTTGATTGCTTATTGTACCCTATGACTACTATTAAGTGTTCTACCTTATGATTCTTGACTCTTGGCGAATGTATCTTTTCTTTTTATGTATACTGAGAGTATTTGCACTAAGACAAATTCCTTGTGTGTCCAATCACACTTGGCCAATAAAGAATTCTATTCTATTCTATTCTATTTTTAAAAATCGGAAGACTATCTTTAAATTCCTCTGTACTGGGGACCTCCATTCATTCTTGTAAGCTTTCCGTGCGCAGTCTGTTGTGGCAGAAAAAGCAGAAGAGATGTGTATATTCACATTACTAAAAAAAATAATAATACAAAAGACACCTACAAAGCTCCACACTGCAATCTGGCCCTGAGCCAAGCACATGGTTTCCAAATGTACCCCTAAACTATGAAATGCATTCCTCGGAGAATTGCTACTAGTCTATTTCGACTTGCAATTTATTTATAGGTGGTCCTCGACTTAACCACCATTCATTTAATGATTGTTTAAAATTACAATGGCAATGAGAAAAGTGACTTATTCCTGGCTCTCCCATTTATGACAGTTGGAGCATCCCCACGGTCATGTGATCAAAATTTGGACATTTGGTAAAGGGCATGTATATAGTATATGTCTATGGTATATGCATGCACATGCACATGTGCATGTACATATACATATATATGACACACACACACACGCACACACATATAGTACATACACGCATATCTCTTTCTCCCTCCCTCCCTCTCTCTCTCCCTCTTTCTCTGTCTCTATGTGTCTCCCTTTTGGTCTCTCTCCCTCCCTCTGTCTCTCTGTCTCTCTCTCTCTCTGACTCTCTGTTTCTCTCTTTGTATATATATATATGGTATAGGGTCTCCTGCTTTTGCAAGCTTCCCAGCTGCCTTCTAACAATCAAAGCCAGATTCACTTAATGACCATGTGATTTACTTAACAACCACAGTGATTTGCTTAACGACTCCGGCAAGAAGATTGTTCATATTTTGTGTTAAATGGTGAGCCCTCTTGAATTTCTTGCAGGCAGAAAAACATCTTCATTGTTATTCCCTCTGTCCAGTGGTGGGATTCAAGTGGTGTTACTACCGGTTTGGTGTAATGTTTTGCACGCGTGTAAAAAGAAACTAAGCTGTGCCGTCCGGAGAGCTAAAAAGCGCTGTGTGTGGGTGCGCAGCGTTTGAAAAGCCTCTTTTTTCTTGCTTTTTCAACCTCAGCTGTGCTGCGCAAAGCAGCTGAGGTTGAAAAAGCAGGAAATAAAGGACAGGTAAGAGCCTGGGAGGGCGGGTGGGCCAAACAGCAGCAAACACAGAACTGGTTGGGTGTCTGCTGTTCTTCAGAGCTACCGGTTCTTTAGAACCAGGCAGAACCAGTAGCATCCCACCCCTGCCTCTGTCTTTTATAATATCCATTCCTTCTTGAAATACTCGAAACACCCCCATGCAAATCATACCAGGAGTTCCTTATAATTGACACAATAACTAATTGACACAATTAGCTGCTTTCACTCAGGAAAACATGCAGCTAGAATGCAACCACAGGTCACTCTTTTGGGTTTCATGAACACCAGAAAAAGCTTGCTGCCTCAACGTTGCAGATACAGGCTTAGTTTGTGAGCAGAATCTACTCGTACGCTTCCAACCGTACTGTACACCTAGCTTTGGATAAAATTATTCCATGCATATCTACCGGATTGCATGTCTTCATAATCCTTGATGTCATTGGCTGGAGTTTTCTCAATGATTCCTTGTATTTCCTTGTCAGTGAGATATTGCACACTATCGTTTTGGCTTCTCCTCTGTTGCTCAATTGTGACGGATACTTGAAGGCTCAAATAGCTCCTCGGGACCTGTTACATGATAGTGCAAATCAATCTCTTCATCAAAGCAATGTATCTGCCCAGTTTTATATAGCACATTCTGGTTGCTGAGACTAGGAATGAAATTGACTCTGTTGTTGTCATGAAAAGGCTGTATTTTTTCTTTCCATATGTTAACTAGAATTCAGGGTCAACCAATAAAAAAACACCTTACTTCTGGATGCAGAAGTAAGCTATACTTTGTCAAGTATAGGCTAATAAGGTAAGGGTTCCCCTCGCACTTACGTGCTAGATACCAATATCACATGAAGAGGATTTTTTAAAAAAGGGTTCCACAGCACATCCTACCAGTTTTTCTGCCTATATCATGAAAGAAAATGATTTGATTCCTCAACAACAAAACAGCTTGGACCTTGACTCTGAAGAATTATGGGAACTGAAATTTAATATATCTGGAGGATAATAGGGAAGGAAGCTTAAACTAAGATGCTCCTAAATGTGCTTCTGGGGTCAACATTAAAGGTAAAGGTTCCCCTTGCACATACGTGCTAGTCGTTCCCGGCTCTAGGGTGTGGTGCTCATCTCCATTACAAAGCCGAAGAGCCAGCGCTGTCTGAAGACGTCTCTGTGGTCATGTGGCCGGCATCACTAAATGCCGAAGCTGCATGGAATGCTGTTACCTTCCCATCAAAGTGGTCCCTATTTTTCTACTTGCATTTTTATATGCTTTTGAACTGCTAGGTTGGCAGAAGCTGGGACAAGTAACGGGAGCTCACTCTGTTATGCAGCGCTAGGGATTTGAACTGCTGAACTGCCGACCTTTCTCACCAACAAGCTCAGCATCTTAGCCACCGAGCCACCGCATTTCACAGGCTAATAAAGTATGCTAATTAACTGTTCAAAGATGTAGGTGATGGTCATTGACTAGTCTATGCAAACTGGTTCTTTCCAAGCAGCTCCATGAATTCTAGATGCTGGTCTCTGACAGAAAGCCATTTGAGGAGACTAGAAGCATTTGAAATGTGGATTTACAGGTGGATGTTACATATAAGCTGGGTTGACAAAATCAGAAAGGAGGAGGTGATAACCTGCTTGGGAAAGCCAAAACCACAAAGAAGCCATAAAAAAGCAAACGTTGGAATCAAAACCATAAAAAAGCAAAAGTTGGAATCTTTTGGACATGCGATGTGACACCTGGAAAAATCCGGCATCCTTCACTTAATCCTCCAAGGAAAGATGGAAGGCAAATGAGGTCCATGCAGAAGAACATCGTGGCTTCAAAATTTAAGGGACTGGTTTGGATAAAAATCAGCATCATTTTTTCGTGCAGCTATTGATAAAAATAGGATTGGCAACATGATCGCCAACATCCTATGATGGATATGGCACAACAACAACAAGAAGAAGCCATCCCAATATATCTGGATGGCCTTTAGTTGGATTAGACACACCAAGGAGGAGGATGGTTCTACTTATGGAGGATGGTTCTACTACTTGTTAGGAGACCTAAGGCAAACCAACATATCTGGAGGCAATACATCTTGGCAAACCAGATGCTGGCCATCAATCTCATGCACTGCTTTCAAACAATTCAAATGCATGTCCCAAATCTATCGTCGTGTCTAAATTATTCCATAAATAAGCAACTGTTATTACAAGATCCTTATAGAGCACTGGTCCACCCAAATTGGAGGGAGGGTGTTGGAGAAACAGCATGTAGAACTGCAGAAGAGCAACTTTGATTCTTTCCTCTTACCCCAGATGTTACTGAATTACAATTCCCAGCTTTCCCTATCAACTGTCTACAGGCCCTAGAAGATGTGGTTTTCCTAAACTCTGGAGAGCCAAACCTTCTCCCTACTTGACATAGAAGGTTAAGGAGACAAGGCTAGAAAAGCTATTCCCTGACTCTGTAATTCAGTCAGATTTATCCCTAATAAGGTGAGATCAAGAGAGTTGGAATTACAGCCATACTCAGAAGTCACACCCAGTTACAAAGTAAAGGAACATTGTGCAGACTAGTTTGTCCAACTTCTGCATCTTCTGGGCACACAACTGCAGCTAAGGAGTCTTAACATATATATGCCATGTTTATATTACTTCTCAGCAGGGTTTATGTGTCTCTTAAAAATGACAAAACAGAGAAATCCCTGACCACCACCCCCCAAAAAAGTGACACCACTGTCCCCTGTAGAAAATTACACACCAGTCTCCCAACAAGCCTCTGTGAGCCAATGGAATTTCCAACATCCTTCATGTTTGTGCTGACGTGGAAGATCAGCTGTCGCAACCCATCCAGGCCTTCCAATGTTTTGCATGAGAGTTCACTGCAAAAAGAAATGCCAAGAGAAAAATTGCATGTAACCCCTATTGTTATCTGGGATAGCAATAGCAATAAGACTTATATATCGCTCCATAGTGTTTTGCAGCACTCTCTGGGTGGTTGACGGAGTCAGCCTATCACCCCCAAGAATCTGGATCCTCATCCTTACTGACCTTGTAAGGATGAAAGGCTAAGTCAACTTTGAGTTTGTCAGGATCAAACTGCTGGCAGTGGGGCAGAGTTAACCTGCAATACTACATTCTAACCACTGCCCCACCACAACTCTTAGTGACACTTCTGATTTCATAATCTAGCCCTAGATTTCCTACTGGTATTTCACCCATAGATAAATCAAGCTTGACTGTGCTTAGCTTTTTGAGATAAGACGAGATCAACTCAGCATTCCTTGTTACATTTGCACCTTAACGAATGGTATTGCTTGCTGAAAACAGAAGGGAAAATATTTTGCTAAGAACCTAGTCCTGTCCCTTATTATTAGCAAAATTGGTTTGCCTCATTTATAGTCCAAACCAATTGTCCACTCTGAGCCGTAAGGCTGTCTTTCTAACCATGTTCTACTGTCTTGGGCTCAAGGAAGTGCAATTAAGAAGCAGACCAGGAACTCAGAGGCACGTGTCACGAAGAAGGCAGACAATAAGCTATTGTTGACCTCTAATTCTTTCTCTACTGAAAAAAACCCTAAAATCTCCTATTCAAAAGTCACGCTAAGCTTGGCTAACCAAGCCGTAGAAGGTTCATTACCAACACATTTTTGTGGGCAGCAACTGTGTCAGCCTGAAAGCTTAAGCATGGCGTGGTAATGCTATCTTGTGCTCTATTTGTGGCGCATGTTGGATTGAGCTGTAAAATTAGAACATTAGAGCTAGGTCTTGCTTCATAGAAAAGAATGTAACCAGCTCTCTGGAGTAGAATATGGTGAGGCAACCACAGGGCTTAAGGCCTAATCTCAGACATTTAAAAACCTCGATTAATGTTTAAGAACCTTGCTTAATGTTTAAGAACTGCTCTGACTTTATCACACTCCCCTTGGTCTTCTATCAGGATTCTGGCAATTGCCATCCTAGGCTGGCAGCCCCCTCGCACCTGCAGACAGCTACAAAGCTTCTTGGGGTTTGGAAACTTCTACCGGCAATTCATCCCCTCCTTTGTGAGGATTGCCAAACCCATGACAGACCTCCTTAAAGACAGGGGGCCCAGGAACGAAACCCTGCCCGGGACAACCCCTACAGTGGGACCTAACCTGCCAAAAGGCATTTGAAACACTGAAAGAACTGTTTGCAAAAAGAACCAGCATGAAGCATCCTGACCCCAAACAACATCCTTCATCATCCAAGTGGACGCCAGCGATGTGGCAGTGGGAGCAGTGTTACTCCAAAGAAATAACCAAGGATGCCTATAGCCCTGCACCTACACCTCCCGCAAGCTCACGGACGCGGAGAGGCAATGGGCTGCATGGGAAAAAGAGGCTTTCGTGGTGAGATGGGCACTGCAAACCTGGCACCACCTGCTGGAAGGGGGACAGAGACCGTTCGAAGTCTGGACTGATCATAAAAATCTGGAGGCCCTTAGGACCCCGTGAAAACTATCACCCAAACAAGTCAGCTGGGCTCAATACTTCCACCGATTCGACTTCGTGCTAAAACACATCCCGGGGGGAGGAACTTTCTGGCTGATGCCTTCTCCCATATGCCCCAGTACAAATAACAGGAGGAGGTTGTGGCCACTTCCTTGGTGCTTCTGGACAGTCTAATTCACAATCTTTCAGGCAAGGTGTTTCATAGCAGTGCAGGTAGTCCTCATACAGTGACCGTTCATTCAGCGACCGTTCAAAATTACAAGGGCATTCAAAAAGTGACTTAGGACCATTCCCCATGCTCACACGATCAAAATTCAGGTGCTTGGCAACTGACTCCCCTTTATGACGGTTGCAGGATCCCGGGATCAAGTGACCCCCTTTGGAGACCTTCTGACAAGCAAACTCAAGGGGGAATCCAGATTCACTTAACAACCATGTGACTAACTTAAGAACTGCAGGGATTCACTTAACAACTGTGGCAAGAAAGGTTGTAAAATGGGGTAAAACTCACTTAACAAATGTCTTGCTTAGCGACAGAAATTTGGGGCTCCATTGTAGTCATAAGTTGAGGACTGCTTGCAGCAAAACTCCCCAATTTGCTCACAGCTAGACCCATGGCCCCACCCTCCCTTAGTCATACTTGAATAATTGAAAAGCAAGCGGTTGGAAACAAGGCCTTGCCAGTGTGAATTGTTGCCCCCATATCCAACTTACTGCAAATGCTTAAATGTGATGTCTGGAAAACCAGTGGCTCTTGAACCTGAGGGAGATCGACAGAGGGCCAGGACATAGGCTCTTAGGGTGGCAATCCTCTCGACACGGAATTTTGTTTCAATGAGGTCCAGATGAGTCCCTACCACCAGCACAACTGAATTTGGAGCCTTGGCCTGGAAAGAGAGAGGGACATTAAGCTATGGTTCATTTAAGCCACAGTTGGTTGAGAGAGTCAGAACAAAGTAGATTTGGTCTTGCAGGTAAATGAAAGTGAACATTTCCTACTCAGCCAGTGACTGCTTTACATGAAGAATAGGGGTGGGAATTGGGTATGTCTAGTCTAGTGAAAAGTAGGACCAGGGGTGACATGAGAGCTGTGTTCCAATATTTGAGGGGTTGCCACAAAGAAGAGGGAGTCAAATTATTCTCCAAAGCATCTGAAGGCAGGACAAGAAACAATAGATGGAAACTATCCAAGGAGAGAAGCAACCTGGAATTAAGGAGAAATTTCCTAACAGTGAAGACAATTAATCAGCGGAACAGCTTGCCTTCAGATGTTGTGGATGCTCCATCACTGGAGGCTTTTAAGAAGAGACTGGACAGCCATTTGTCTCAAATATTATAGGGTCTCCTGCTTGAGCAGGGGGTTGGACTAGAAGACCTCCAACTGTGATGATGTTCTATGCTTCTTTTTAAAGTTGGTCTTGCCTGGCATCCCTCTGGAAGTTTTAGGTAGGGCAGACAAGCAAACCAAAGATAAACTAGGAAATACACCTATCTATAATTGCCACCACTTGCTTATCACCCAATGGCAGAGTAATTCCAGTTTTTCAAATAAGCCACAAGGCCGGCATTCAGACATCATGTATATGACATGACATTATGCTTTATGGTGAGGTAGATATTGGTATCGCATTAAGAGGATTTTTAAAAAAAGGGTTCCACGGCACATCCTATGAGTTTTTATGCCTATATCATGAAAGAAAATGATTTGATTCCTCAACAACAAAACAGCTTGGACCTTGACTCTGAAGAATTATGGGAACTGAAATTTAATATATCTGGAGGGTAATAGAGAAGGAAGCTTAAACTAGATGTTCCTAAATGTGCTTCTGGAGTCAACATTAAAGGTAAAGGTAAAGGTTCCCCTTGCACATACATGCTAGTCGTTCCCAGCTCTAGGGGGCGATGCTCATCTCCATTACAAAGCCGAAGAATCAGTGCTGTCGAAAGACATCTCCGTGGTCATGTGGCCGGCATGACTAAACACCAAAGATGCACAGAACATTGTTCCCTTCCCACCAAAATGGTCCCTATTTTTCTACTTGCATTTTTACATGCTTTTTGAACTGCTAGATTGGCAGAAGCTGGGACAAGTAACGGGAGCTCACTCCGTTACATGGCACTAGGGATTCAAACTGCGAACTGCCAACATTTTAATTAACAAGCTCAGTGTCTTAGCCACTGAGCCACCTTGTCCCTTCTGGAGTCAACATTAGGAATAGACAATCACATAGCCATATAGGGGTGAAGAGTGATGGTTGGGTCATAGTTGATGTAAAGATGTCATCCTTGATGGATTTTAAGGTGAAGCTGTTAGAAATGAACAATAAAGTTTGTCAAACTTGTCTAAGCCTCCCTGTACTGTACTGTACTGTGAAATAGACATTCTGCAAGCCAGCCTACAGCTTTGCTCCTACCTCAATACTGAGTAACCAGAATTGAAGATTCGCTACAGCTTCTTCTCCCAGTGCCAAGTTCCAGATGACAATGTACAATGCCTTATCTGTGAAGAAGCACTGGTTGACTGTTGACATGCTGGCGGGGCCTCCAATATCCCAGACGTTCAACTCAATGGCGTCAACCTAATTGGACAAAGAGCTACATTGAAGGAAACAAATAACCCCTCAACAGAAGTCAATTTAAAATGAGAGAGAAAGGGAGAATGGTCAATGCATAATGAGTTTGCACCCTCGAACACCTCCGTAATGTATGGCACCTAGGCGTCAATGGGTATTAATGTTCAAACTGAAGAAAGAGCACTTGTTATGGGAGAACGACCCCTTCCCACACAGGAAATTGATTTGCTTGCTTTTAAGGCAGCCACACACTCTCGGGGTTAAGATTTAGTATGGAAGCCAGCTCCGACAGAGAAGAGCCATCGCGGTCTTATGCTGCATCCATCCAACCAGTTAATCTGCTGCTAAATTTTGCAAAGCATTCAATGACTCAGAATTAAAGTTCTAATTTGAATCCCACTGAAAACTCCAGGTGTGAAAGGCTCCACAGGGAAAGCAAAGGGTAGATACCAACAACGCTATTTTGAAATACACCAGAATCCATTCCGTTGTCATTCACCTTCAACGTCTCCCACCCATTTGACCTTTTTAAAAGTCAGATTCTGAGCAGGGTGCAAATTAGATAATTAATTCTGGAATTCTATGAGAGGTTCACCTTTTAATGAGCGGTGGCCTCCAAAGGCCCAATTTGGGAACTTTTCCAGATGAATTAAAATAAAAATGTGTGTGTGTGGGTGGGGCGAGGATGTTGTTTTGGTTATGGTCAGGTGCTATCTGAAATTGCTGAAGGCGACTTATCTTTCACATTCAGAAATATTTCCTCTTTTCCATGTATTCCATGTTCTCTATATGTCATACCCCTGTCAGTCTGAACCCGAGGAGGATGAACAGCTGACAGGGAGGGGGAATGTGGTTTTGTTGGCTGTGGAGGAGGCTGGGGAAGGGCAAAGTCCAGCTGGGCAGAGCAGGGGAGAGATAGAACATGGGAGAGGGAGTTCAGAGGAAGATCTAGGCCCACCCCCTTTTCATCCTAGGGCACGCAAGGAGGAACAGGGAAGAGAGCAACATGGGTTGCATGGCTTATGGGGGAGGAAAGGGCCCTGATTCCCTTCATTAGCCACACCTGGGAATGAAAGCTTATAAGAACTGAATGCTGACTGCGGCAGCTGCTGGGAGCAAACATGATTTTATCCTGTGTTGTCATTGCTTATCTGTGTTCCTGGCGTCTTCCCAACCATGTGAGTTATTGCCATGCCTCCAAGTCTAGAATTCTTGCTCCTGCCCTGCCAAACTAAGTATCTCAGTTTGGCTTGATTGGACTTAAAGTTACAGTTTTTGTTGACCATATTTTGGAACATTCTCTTTGGCTGTTCCTGGATGAGTTTTTCTCCAGCCAGAAGGTAACCTGGACATTGGGGGCAAAGGTGGAGCTCATAAAGGGACTTTTATTGATTATCTGACTGTGTTGCCTTTGTGCCACACCCCAGGTCATCACACTATACTTTTGTTACAGATTCATGAGAGGGTTTTTTTAAGTATGCAAATGAGATGCAGGTAATCCTCAACATACACACACACATGTACATATACACATACATGTACATATACACATACATACATACATGTACATATACACATACATATATACATACATATACATATACACATACATACACACATGTACATATACACATCCACATCCACAATTGAGCTCAAAATTTTTGTTGCTAAGTGAGTTTGGCCCCATTTTACTATCTTTCTTGCCACAGTTGTTAAGTGAATCTGGCTTCCCTGTTGACTTTGCTTATCCAAAAGTCACAAAAGGGGATCACATGACCCTGGGATCCTGCAACCGTCATAAAGGTGAGTCATTTGCCAAGCATCTGAATTTTGATCACATGAGCATGAGGCATACTGCAAGAGTGGAAAATGGTCCTAAGGCACTTTTTTTTTTGAATTTTTTAATTTTGAACAAGCACCTCTGGGACAGCCATGACCTGGAGGACTGAGAATCTCCATAGACATTTCTCTTTTTTATTTACCTTGGATTTGAATCCAGCAGGTCTCTGGAGCTCCCATCTTGTGGTCCGGACAGTGGCATTGTCAGGCATTGAAAAAGAAGATTTCCCTGTCTGCAGGATCTCAACCAGGGTGGATTTTCCCTGTCGAGGAGGACCTACCACCACCATTTTCATCACATTACATCTCTCTGCTTTGCGTAGCTGGGCACGTAAGTAAGCTAAAATGGTCTTGGGTCCTGCAGGTAGAAGGGATGGAGAAATCATTGGTAGATGATTGGTGACAGGCTTCCCCTGTCCAGTTGTGTCCAACTCTAAGGGTGGTGCTCATCTCCATTTCTTAGCCAAGTTAGCCAGCGTTGTCTGAAGACACTTCTGTAGTCATGTCTGTATGCCAAGGTGCATGGAACACCATTACCTTCCTACCTTATCTTATCTACTCGCATTTGCCTACGAACTGCTGGGTTGGCAGAAGTGGTAGATGATAGCTAATAAAAAAAATATTTTGTGCAGGATGAGCAACCTCCAGTCATCTTGGACTAATTTTCAAAGCCCTCTATAAGCAAGCAACCTGGGCCCTGAATAAGAGACATCTGAGGAATCTTTCTCTCTTCTCTCTCTCTGTTTCTTTCTCTCTGTCTCTCTCTCTCCCTTCCTCCCCACTCTCTCTTTCTTCTCCCGTCCATTCCTTAGAAGTGTGGGAAGCTAGGATGACTAAAGAAAAAAACTGCAAAATTAATCAATAGTTTTTTTTACAAAAAAAAACCCTTGGATTCTCCTGATTTAAAGTTTGGGCTGAATACGGAAGTCATATATTGCAAAAATAAACAAACTGATGGAACATCATCAAGCAATAATAGGCCTATTCAAAATGAGTAAACACCAGAAGCCCAATTTTATGTAAGCCAAGGATCCTTAATTTCCAGTTATGGTTTGTCTTAATTGCTGCAGAACTTGCCAATAAGTTAAGTTACAACAGAAATAACCATTCTGAAAAATATAATGTTAGGCCAGGAAGGGACAAAACTGACATCGTTTGGTTGTGGGATGTCAAAAACTATGACTTTCTGCAAAATAATAAATGTTGCCTGTCATTTCTACAGCACTTACTCAGAAATGTATGGGTGGGAGGAATGGAATCCATTAAATGGCTGTACTGTGAGCTTCTGTTTGAAGAAGGTTGCCTGCAAAGGAACTGATCGAGCTGAATTTGAATCGCATGGAAAATCTGAGGTCTGCAATTCTATTTCAAAACAACAACCTGGACAGAGGCCCTTCCATATTGCCCATCATTCAATAATGAATAAAATCAGGCTTGGTCTGGATTCTCTTCCTGTTTGAACAGCTGAGATTAATCAGTTAGAGAAAGGGAAGAACCTCACCCTCTTTTCTGATCTCCGTTGGAAGATTGCCAATGTTTAGATCCTCGATATCCAGCTGCCAAAGATTAACCAGTTGTCCAAGTTCAGCAGGAAGCTCTTGGATGCCTGGGTTACTATGTAGAAAAGGACACACACTCATCAACCGATCCTCAGCCTTGCCAAGGGTGACATTGAAGTAGGCAAGTTGGCAACGAGTCTAGCCTTCAAATGAATATGTGGAGGTATAACGTGAAACTGTTAGCTTAGGTGAAACCATCGTGGAATTTCAATGGAAAAGGAAACTTAAGAAAATAACAAAGTTGGAAGGGACCTTGAAGGTCTTCTAGTCTAATCTCCTCCTCAAGAAGGAAGCCTTATACCATTTCAGACAAATGTTGTCCAATCTCTTCTTAAAACTCTCCAGTGTTGGAGCACCCATGACTTCTGGAGGCAAGTCATTCCACCAATTAATTGTCAGGAAATTTCTGTCAGGAAATTTCTCCTTAGCTCTCGGTTGGTTCTCTTTTTGATAAGCATCCATCCATTGCTTCTTGTTCTGCCCTCAGGTGCTTTTTGGAGGTTAGCTTGACCCCCTCTTCTTTGTGGCAGCCCCTTAGATATTGCAACACTGCTATCATGTCTCCCCTAGTCCTTCTATTCACTAGAGATATCCAATTTTGCAACTGTTCCTCATGTGTTTTAGCCTCCAATCCCCTAATCATCTTTGTTGTTCTTAACTAAGTCTCTTGAACAAAGTTTCTCCACTTTTCTGGTTAGCTAAGATGAAACACAACCCCTCCTCTTAAATTCTGTTTTGTGTGTTTCTCAGCAGTGTTGTTAAAAATCATTTCACAAGTTCTCAGTGAAATGATAATCTTGAGAAACTTTAAAAATCACAGTCTTTTACTCAACATAGGAGTTCATTTATTTCTTTTTAATTTTACTCTTCTTTCCAGGAAAACAATGAGCATATATTATTTTTCCTTCAACCATCTCCTACCGCAACCAACTTCAAGATAACATTGAGAGATGGACATAGGGAATCTCATCCTGTATTTCCCCATTCTTGGGGTCTTGGATCTTCCAGCTGTGTTTAGCTAAAATTCCTATATTTCATCTACATCTTGGCAAGGCTCTCTTGGAATTATGTTACACCTTCAAAAATATCTGGAGAAAATCAAGAGCACTGAAACTACCACGTTCATCAAAGGAAACCTCTGGAGTTTCAGCAGCCAGTGAATTAAATATTCTTCCAAATTAATGAATTAAATATTCTCTACAACTGTTGGGAAGAACTCGACTCACTTTCCTAAGTAGAGTTCTGACAGCCCTCTGAGGAGACAAACAGACTGTGGGACGGAGTCTAGTTGGTTGTCATTCAGATAGAGGACCTCCAACATATCGGCCAGGAATTCAGGAAACTGTAGGGTATATTCTGGAAAGAAAAAGTAAGACAAATACAAGTTAGGTAAGAGAATATCCAGGACACACACATTCTGCAAACTAGCAATCAGATTTGATAGGATAAAGCCCCCTCTTCGCCAGCTGTCGATCACAGGTCTCAAGAAAGGGACAGGAGAACAATCTGTTATTTATTAATATTTAAAATATTCATTTGGCCTGTTTTTCCTACAGCAGAGAGTTTCTTATGACCACAAGGTGGCAGAGGACAACTCATGATGAAAAAGGGATGGTGATCAAAAGGGGATTTCAATACATATTATAAACATAAGGAAATCCTTTCCAATCCTCCAACCCTTTGGGGGAAAAGAGCATTTTAAGAAAATAAACCAGGAGAAAGCGGAAGAAAGACACCGTGAATATTGTCAGGGGCTACCAATTTGGGGAAATGGATAAATGGGCTCAGAAAACTGCAAATTAATATAAGGGGGGGGGGGTCAAAAAAATCTTGTTCATGTGCAGTATCAATTGGTTTTGAATCAAGGTGGTCCAGTGGTTAGAAGGCAGTATTGCGGGCTAATTCTGCCGACTGTCAGCAGTTTGATTCTCACCGGCTCAGGGCTGTATCCTTCTGAGGTTGGTAAAATGAGGACCCAGATTGTTGGGGGCAATATGCTGACTCTGTAAACCACTTAAGAGGGCTGTAAAGCACTATGAAGTGGTATATAAGTTTATTGGTTTTATGGGTCACTTTATATACCATTTACATACCATTCAAAAGAGGCAAAAAAGGAAACAAAAAAGACCAAAACACTTCATGGCCAGCAGTTAAGATTCAGATAAACAGAGATTAACACTAGGCTCAATACTCCAATCGAGGAAGTGCCAGCTCAGACAAACAAATAGCAAACAACAGCCTATTCAAGGAACAATTAAGAAGATTCCCACCAACACTGACAGAATAAGCATAAACAGAACAAATCCCACTCCCTTCTAACACTGATGATATTACCTAGCTGGGTAATGAAACATCTGCAAGAAAACAACCAAGCTCGGAGAACACCAAGAACCCACAGCTCCTCCCCCCCTTCCCCCCATAGCTCTACACACCTCATTCCTTTCTAGCACTGATGATATTACCTAGCTGGGTAATGAAACATCTGCAAGAAAACAGCCAAGCTCAGAGAGCACCAAGGATTCCACAGATCTATTTAAAGACCAATACTCAGTCTCAGCTAGAAAATACAATCAAAGAAGCAGCCATCAAGAATCTTAAATGTACTTGAATATCCTACCACTCCATTCTTCATTTCATCCTGCGCACCTGTCTGTCTGTCTCTCTAATACACTTACCTATCTCGCTGCCAACGCAACTTCTGTTTCTTGTAGTGAATAATGGAATCCATTTAGTTTTGGTCCCTTCCTCAGTTCTGTAGGCAAATGTAAACAAAGACCAATCAAACAGGAAGATTTCTTCTGTAATGTGACTTAAGAGAAACCCCCAAAACTCACTTTCCAAGCTGATTCTTGGAGAGATCCAGAGATTTCAACAATCGGCAAGCCCACTTCTCTGGAGAAGGTAAGTTGACTATCTGATTTCCAGAAAGTTTCAGAGAGACCAGAGCCTGAAAGGGAAAATCGATAATGATAGTTTTTGCATAGACGTCCCAGGAAAGGAAACTGTTCAAAATCTGCAAGATAGTAGATGTGGCATCACGATCTTGCAGAATTTGACATATAGACCACTGAAATCTGATAAATCTTGAAAAGAGGAGATGCAAAATTCAAAGGGGGAAAAAAGAGGTGGGATAATTGGGAAAAAAAACTGAAAAAATATAATTTTAGGGCTTTTTTTATTTTTAAAAACAAACATAAACAAACAAAACATAAAAACATCAAGCTATCTTCCATAGGTG